CCTTAGATAAGCGAGACCAACGCAGGGACCCACTGTTCCCAGACCTCGCCGGAAGAGAAGAGAGCGAGGTCTCTAATCTCTGACTTATTTATACTCTGGTTTACGTAAAAATTGTGTGGAATACTGGGTACTTGGCTCCTTCCTTGGTTACAAACTGGTCACCAAGGAAGGCCTAGACTAAAACCATCACAACCCCTGTAATATATTCTGAAGTATATTTAACTTGAGCTGGCATATCAATACCATTATCTCATATGAAAAACTAAAGTCCTACTGAAGATATCTACATAAAACTGCTATAATTAATTTTTTTATATTAAATCTTCCTTTGAAAATTTCATTTTAATAAACCAAGCATAAATATAATATGATATGATCACTGACTTTCTATTAACTTGTTTTTTTCTTTTTCTGTTTAGCTGTTCATGCTTCTGATTCGTCAGATATTAATGAGGAAGAAAACCTGACTGACTAACACAGCTTCGGTAGTTTCTTGGGTTTTCATTCTGCAGTGTTTGAGATAGTTGAGGAAAATTTCAAGGAATGGAGTTAGCTCACAGTTTATTGCTTAATGAAGAAGTGTATAACCAGCTTGGTGGATTTCAAAAAGCAGAGTTCATTTTTGAGTGGTTACAGTATTTGGAAAAACTTTTACCAGTGACTAGCAGAGTAAGTATAATGAGATTTGAGAAGAAAATCACATTACATAGTTATTTCTTTCTGTCTTTTTGTTATTTTGTTTAAAACCAAAGAGCAGTGTTCAATGTTATTTGCCTCACGTCTTTTATTTACAAGCAATGAAAGTAGATTCAGTATTAGGAGCAGCTTTTTAAATGTTACAAGTATTTGGTCACAGCCCTTCAAGTGACAGAGCCACTTGTCAAATGAAAGGCATTTTAATTATTTTTAACTCATATTATTACTGCAAGATTTTGCAGCCCCATTGTGAAGAATGTCAGTCATGCTTCTACCTGACATTGCACAATTATTTGATAGTTCTCTAGCAAGCAAGAATGTAGCATCTTTGTCTTCTTTTTTTTTTTAATTTTCCTAATCAAATTATAAAAGATCTGTTTCCAGCCAACTCTCCAATTGTTTGATTCACTGTTTGGTCTATATTAAGTGGGTTATGTAGATATATAAGAGTAAACCAACCAAAATAATGGTATTTAAGTGTTTTTATTTGTGATGAAAATATGTAAATGAAATATGGTACCAGACTTTTTTTTTTTTTTTAAGAGTATTAAAATAATTTATATAAGACTGGGTGATTGTTTTAAGGGAAGTTCTTTCCTTTCTAATGCTCAGGTTCTTGAAACATGGCTAAAGTTCTTCTGTGCTAGTAAAATTACTAAATTAATTGTTTTATTTTAAAGCAGGCAAAGCAAGAAAAGGAAACTTTGTTCTAGAAAGATATAAGTATATAAATACCATAGGGAAAATACACTTGCAATGCTACTAGAAATAGTAGCTCTGAAAAATGTGCTGGGTTTTTTTTAAGAAGAATAAAATAGTCACACACTTGAAATGTCTTTTCTTTAAGCATAAAAGTGGAATAAATGTTCATTTGTAATTAAGAATGTCATTATCAGATTGGTAATAATGAAAAGTAATGATAATTTACATTAATTAGCTTTAACTAACTTTTAAATTTAACTGAATTTTACCTGGTTACTGATTTTATTTCCAGGCTGATATAAGGGAAAACCAGAAGAAACTGGTTGAACAATTGACTTCTTTATTAAACAATTCACCGGGACCTCCTACCAGACGGCTTCTTGCCAAGAATTTAGCTGTAATTTATAGCACTGGAGACACTTTCTCTGTTTACCAAACAATTGACAAATGCAATGAACTCATTCGGAGTAAAGATGACTCACCAAGTTATCTACCTACAAAACTGTAAGTATTTTTTTAATCCCAAACTTCAAATTCAGTAATAACAAGAGAGACAAACTGACATGGTGAGCTGCATCTGAATTCACTACTGCAAGATACATAATAAAACAAAGATTATGCTAGTGCTAGATGTTGTATGTGTGCTTCAGGAACCAAAAGAGTAGAAGAATTGGTGGTGTTCAGCCAGACTACTGGAAGTCAGGCTGGGGAGATACCAGCGATGGATGACAGAGTTATGAGGGCACAGCTGTTTGAAAAGCAAGGAGAAGGTAATAATATTGCTGAGAAGGGCTGTGAAACAGACAAGTACAACTCCAGGTACAAAATACAGTTACTGAGTACATTTCTTAATCCAGCTGGGAAACTGGACATAGTTAAAAATGTTTGTAACTTAACGCCTGGAGCCTGGAACAGAGAAACAGCAACTGTTACTTCAGAATGTGAAACCAAGTCTTCATGTGCAGAAATGTCGTAAGTAACCTTCATTCCTGAAACAATGCACATCTTTGACTTTAATGAAGAAAATTAAAGGTAGAGAAAGTAAAACATCATTATGTGTTAATGATAAGGTGTTGAAAGCAGAGCAGAATATGTCTTCCTCCTTTACTTCGCATGCTAAACTTGTTTCTGACAACCCAAGTAAAGATTTCTGAAAATAAATCCAAGTAAAGATTCCTGAAAATAAATTTTGCAAGGAGTCACTTCTATTCTGCAGTACCATAATTTTTTTCCCTCTTGTTCCAGGTGACGTCTTGTGCAGTCTTTTGAATTAAGAATAAGTTTGCTATAAAGGATCTAAGTCTTGCAAAATAAATTACTGCTATACTACATCCTCAACTGTGATATACCATTAACATTGGCTGAGTTGTAGTGTGGGACAGAGCTCTGCAGGTCTTCCTTGCTTCAGCTGTGATATGCCAGATTGGAGGAAGTGGGAGGAAGTCGGCATAGCAAGGAGGGATGATGGAGTCCATTGGCAGTTTAGCAGTAATGGCAGATATCCAGAGTCAACGCAGAGAAGTAACTGGGGGAGGAGGAGAGAGGTGGCATTGCTCAGAGTGCTCCTGAGTATGTAAGCAGTAGTGAGGAGAGGAAATAAGAGATGGCAAAAAAACATTAAAATATGGCTTAATTCAAAAAAGTTTTGGAAAAGGTATTTCTGATACAGCTGACATTGAGGTTGAGGCTACACAAAAATAATTGGAACTACAGCACTGTTTACTGAGTAAAATCTTTAATCTTCAGTTGCAAATATATTTAATAGTTGGTGTTCAGTGTAGAAAAACTGCTTTTTTTTTGCCCCATCTTGATTAAGGTGTTGTCTTTGTTTGCCATCTGTCCTTATTTAACATACATGCCCATGTTGTCTCGTAGCAACACTTAACCATCAGTGTTCACAATATGTTAATACACCCGGGAACTCCTTTAAATACAGTTCCAGTGAATCATTCTCTTATCTCATAAATGATTACTTTTCTTCTTTTCTTCACCTTAGCTAAGTGCTTATCTGCTACTAAAATTCAGTGTGATGTGAATGCTATACTAAATCAGATAAACAGGTCATGCAGTGGGAATGCAGCTTATTAATTAACTTTAAATGATGAAGTTTTTAAAATATTCACAAGGGCTGCTTTTAAACTAAGCATTGGCCTGGTCTGCAAACTTTCATAGCTTGTCTCAGTGCTATTTTACCACATGTTCAAGTATCTTAGCTCTGGATTTTTTTGGGTGCCTGTCCAAGTACAATTGTTAAGGCAAAATTTAAGAGAAAACAATTTAGATGTAGCTTTTATAGAGAGTTGTGTATCAAGATAGAGGTGTGCTGCTAGGGAGATAGACAGGGGCAGAGAGGCTTGTCCCTGCAAAACTTGTAAAAATTTACAGGCTTCCTTGGAAACTTCTGGCTGTTGCTTACAATTGGACAGTAAAAGTAACTCCACTGTTAGTTCAGTTTGGACTTAGTGAAGAAACATTTGTGAAAACAAAAAAAATATACAACTAGAGCCATGAGGCAATCCTAGAATGCAGGTACAAGAACTTCCTCAGTCCTATGCTTTGAACTTTCATAAAACCTTCAATGTTGATGTGCAGAAGTAAGTGGATTCCCATCTTTAGTTGACTAGATGTTGCTTATCAACAAATACGGCCACTTTGTTGCTAGAAATCACTGTTCAATACTGATTGACTCTTTCATGCAACACTGAAGCGGTACATGGCAGTACAACCAAACTTCTAGGAGTGCTTGCAGGTTATACCATGATGTAATAAGGTAGTTTATTTGGTTGGTTTTTTTCATATATATGTTAAATATTCCATCTTCAGATTATGGTGCAAAATAGATATTATTTAATCTTGAAGCTAATTAAAGTATTTGTGACCATTAGATGCTCAATTTAGTAGTAAGATGAGACAGTTGTAATTTTATGCCCAGGCACACCATGAACAAAATTAAAATTCAAACTGTTGGTGTGTACTGAGTTGGATAAAAGCAATAATGAAAAATACTTTTTTAATGAAAATAGTATTTTGGTATGATAAGGGATAAAGAAGGCTTTGTATTTCTTATTGTGCTGTGTAATTTAGGCAAGTACTATAAATATTAAACGTATTTTTCTAATTAAGAATATATTCAGTATGAGATTTCAAAATTATTTATGTGAAACTTGAATTCAATTGGGGAATAAGCAAAATGTTGTTTTCTTCAAGGGGATGCTGAGCAAGGTCTGCATATTTAAGTAGGTCTAGCCAAAGAGCTGAAAGCTGATTAAAGAGATAATTTCTTTTTTCCTTGTAGTCATAAAATGACTTGGTTTAGTTTATAGATCTGTCAATTCAAAAGCAAAGTGTTTTCCTTAAGTAATTATTCAAAGGAAAACACTCTTTCATTAGGCAACTTTTTTTTTTTCACTCAATATTAGCAATATTTGCTTTTGCTAATGGAGAGGCCAGTGAGCACACAGAGTCCAGCTGTCATATAGTTCACCAGGATATAATGAAAAGGACACGGATTTATAGTTTTATTTACTTTTTATGTATTGTTATACATAAATGACAGAATTACAATTACTAGACCATTTGCAGTCTGCTATTGACCATCAAGTTGTAAGTGAACCTGTGTGTGACTACTTCTGGCAGCATCTGTTGTAGCACAGTGCCATGGACTGCATGACACAGAGCATGCTTAGTAAGAAATTAGTTAAGTTTTAAAGGTGGATATGGAAACTCTATTCCTGTTGTAAAATTTACTGGAAGATTGTATTACCTGAATTCTTGTATTATCCAAGTTATTTTCCCAACCCTTGTATCGGCGTTTCTCGTAGAGGTTATGTGCCACACACAGATCATCTTTTTTTCCCTTTTCATAATCCACTTGTGGTTTTGGGACGTTCTGTTTAGTTATTTTGCTGTTTGCCCATTGATTACATTAGTCTCTTAATCCCTTTCATCACTTACTGCATCCATTTTCACGCGTCTTTGGATTTGCTTTTGTTTTAGTGCTGCGGTGGTATGCTTGGGCTATTTATACAAAAAATTGGGAAGAATTTTGGGAAACAGTTTTACTGACACCGTTGGGAATGTGCTTAAAGCAATGAAGAATGCAGAGGTATTGGAACAGCATGTTTAAAAAATGATTGGAAAAATAACAGGATGTTTACTGTTGGTAGCTGGACCAATGAGTAAGAGAAAATGCATGATACCAAAATATGAAAAAAATCATGGAAAGTCAGATAAAAATCAGTGTCTAAATTCCAAAGAAGTACTAAAGAGTTAATGTATAAAGACTAGAAAAGGATGGATCATAGCTTTTCTCAATTTGATTTCATGAAAGTTAGAAAATTTAATTGCATTATTAATGAGAACCTTTTTGCTATAGCTCATACTTTGTTTTGAGTTTTGTACTTCTATTTAGTATTTTTCAATGGAACATAGAATTGCTATTTTCATTTGCTTATAGAGTTTTAGGGCAAGTTATCTGCTTTAACTTGCTTCAGCATAAGCAGATCTCGAAAAGTCTGAAAGACCCAACCACTGTTTGCCTATTTCAGTAATTGGCATTTTGTATTTCCAAGGATCTTAGGGTTACAAAATATTAACATTTCTCATTTTCATTTTTCAGTCTCAAGGTCGTTATGAAATCATGCTTAGTTTGCAAAATATATTAAATGGTTTAGGAGCTGCTGCTATCCCCTGTCATAGAGACATTTACAAAGCTGCCCGATCATGTTTGACAGATCGATCCATGGCAGTCCGCTGTGCTGCTGCAAAGGTAAACCACTCTAATTGCTGTTCTTATTAAGTAACTCCCTAAGTAAAATTCTGTTTTAATGGGTGATGAACAGAGCAGTAAATACGTTGTTGGCTTATTTCTTTGATATTACCTTGGCAGCAAAAAATCAAGTAATTTTGGTATGAGGCAACATGCTTATTTTGGTAGGGAGAACTCTGTGTATTCTGTAGCAAATTAAAATTTTTGCTGACTACTTTCTCATGTTGAAACACCTTTATTTCCCTTTTTTTTGTCTAGTGTCTTCTTGAACTTCAGGATGAAGCAGTATTTATGTGGACTACAGACCTGGATAGTGTTGTGACCTTATGTTTTAAATCCTTTGAAGGTTCCAATTATGATGTTCGATTAGCGGTTTCAAAACTTTTAGGCACAGTGTTGGCTAGAGCTCTGACATCTAAGCAGACAACAGGTAAAGTATTGACTTTATTTACTGAGTCCTCATTTGTAAAAATCTGTCAGATGATAAGAAGTTCTCATATTCTATCGAAGCCTGAAGTAAAAATCACAATTAAAGCTTCATCTGGCTGTTCATATCTCTGGTTTGGTCTTTTTTGTAACTTTTTTCTTCTGAAGTGCTGTGCTTATGTATTTATAATATATTTATGTACAATATATTTTTATATATTTTATAATATGCTTACATATTTATAAAATAATAAAGAAGGAAAAGTATTTGGTAAAACTTGTTTTCACTATTGTAAAATTGTTATTCTATGGAGCGAAATTAGTAACCTGAGGAATTTAAAGGCAAGATTGATTTAAGCAGTGTAGAAAGAACCAAGATTTGAGGCAGTGTCTCTGTGTCAAATGACAAAGTTAAGGATACCTTCAGGTTGTTTTTCTGCACGAATCGATACCACATAGGGATTGTCCAGGAGTACTAACATGATCAGAAGCAGAAATTAGCATACAGTTTAACAACCATGTAGCAGTTTTTGCTGACAGGCAGTACTTGAGCTAGCTGAAGCATCCTGGCACAAATAACATCTCTAGTATTTGGTGTTGTTCAGACTGGGTGGTTTTAGTCCAACCTCAGAAGCCCAAAGCTAAGTATCTAACTATAATCCAAGCAAAATATAACAGGATGCAGAATAAGTGTGATTTAGACTGATTGTTCTGCTTTTAATGGCATCAGAAAAAACCTTCAGTGCAATAATTGGCAAATGACAAAATCACATGCCTTTAAGCACAACTTACTGTCTTCCAGAATATTTGAGGCTGTGTATTTGCGTTGTAGACCCCGAAGTCTTGATTTATAAAGTATTTTCCTAAGAATCTTTTGGAGAGAATTATTGTGTTGCAGAAAACTGCACTCATCTTTTCTCAACAAAGTAAAAAGAAATAATATTCTGACCTCCTTGTAGATTCAGTGGTTTTCTTTAATCTTTGTAAGATATGTAGTTGTTATTTCTAAAGCACTAAGATAAAGTTATGTAAGAAGCTTATAAATTATTTCGTTGGCAGTTTCAAGGAGTTTTTTCCATATTGGAGTTATTTTTAGTTAAAAAGAAGTTACAGCTAAGTGAGACAGAAGCTAGGTGGGGACTAGAAGAGGCTGGGGGAGAGGTGGAGGGAGCAATATATGAAGTTCATAGTCTTGAAGTTTGTGTATTGTATCTGATAACACCCGGATATTGAATTGTTTCCTTTTTCTCCTGGACATGATAATCTCGAATCCTCTTATTCTTTTCCCATTTCAATGCTTGCAAGAGAATGAAAAATGCAGTGAAAATTTTAGGTCGCTTAGTTTGCGTAGTGTGCTGTCATCATGCTGTTTGCACACACATCCCAGCATATATTTTAAATGAACTTTCTGTCAAGAAATAAAGCAGTGGAATAGGTATTGGGAAATAAATAGTTTTCCTAGCTGATTTTGTTATTCTCATTCTTTCAAAGAGCTAGCTTAATGCCAAGGTGAGTTGCTTTTTGTTTCTAAGAGAATCTGTAGTTGTACCTTTACCTGGCTAAGCATATCAGAAAGGTAATCTGCCCTTCTGAATTTTGGAATAGAGGTTGTCTTTGGTGGTAGGCTGGAATGTGTTAGTCAGGACTTCCATGAAACTTTCAATGGTAGGAGTAGACCATACAGAGCATAGATGGTAAATGCTGAGGGTGGTAAATTTAAGTATGCATACTAAGTAATGGCTTAGACTATTTAAAGGTAACTAAAGGAGGAAAACTTGATAAATGCTGTGGTTTGCTGGATCACTGAGTCCTAAAATACCTTAGTTTCTGTTATGAAGTTAAACCGTATTTGGATTTGATTGTGCTACTGAACTTAACACAAATTATTTTTTCTAAAAAGATGAGAGTTGAACCTCTCTACTTCTAAAATGTAACAGGATTTTAGAACTATTCCTCTAAAGATTTACATCTGTTCTTAGTGTCCACCAAGCATAACTTCCGCAGAATCTCTTTGGAAGAAGTGATGGAGCTATTGGGAACTGGATTTCTGCGTGGAAGTTGTGGATTTCTACGAGCCAGTGGCGATATGTTGAAAGGGACCAGTTCAGTCAGCAGAGATGTTAGAGTTGGAATCACCCAGGTTTGGATTACGTTAGTTATGGTTTTCTCAGATTGCTAAACATTTGTGTAACTGTTTTACTCTGCATATATTTCTCCTTTCATCCTTTTTTGTATCTGTGATGAGATGTGTGTACTTTAAGGATTTACATCTTATGTTAGAAAGAAAAGAAAAAAAAGAATTTCTGATCTTGCTTATTGTTCACCTGATTGTTTGAAATTTTATAAGTTAAGTGTGTATTACTTGTGAAAGCTTCACATGATAGGAATTTCAAAGGAGTGGTATAAATAAAATCCTTGAATCTTTAATTTAAAACTTAATGCCTTATGTCTAAAAATTAAAGAGAGAAGTTACAATAAATCTTTGAATTTGGAATAACTCTCTTCTGTATAGGGACATTCTAAGTCCAGTTTTGGAAAAATGGTTCTGCTTTGAGGAAATGCATGAAAAATAAGAAAAACAGAATTTAGTGGAAAAACCCCAACATCTGTTTTGCTGTGTTGCAGAATGCTCAAAGGATAGAATCTTGTTAACCGAACAGGAGTGAAGTCAGACCATGTAGTGCATGGTGGTAAAAGTTGTGTAAATTTTTCACATAATATCAGGTTGGCTTCATCCTGTAAATATTATCTTAAAGCAAACATGCTAAGACATAGATACTCAAATGTAAAAACTGTGAATCAAGACTAAAGGTCATGATGAACATTTACATATCAAACAGGTGTGATTATTTTAGTGTTACAGTCCCACAGCTATATGATAGTCCGCTTTGCCAGCAAGGCAGTTTTTTAGTGCACATCAACTTCTGCAGTGCAAAAAAATCTTTAAATTAGCTTTAGTTACTGGTACAAGCTGCCACACTTTGCACTGAAACAGCTAGAAGGTGCTCACAAATTGTTGTCTCTACTCAGGTCATGCTGAGTGGAAGCATTAACTTCTGGCAGAGAGACAGAAAAGCTGGGGAACAATAATACCTTGACATCTATTTGCCTAGAAAATGCATGCCAGACTCCTAGGGTATTCTCTATACAAGGTGGTTTTATTAGTTTTCCAGGAGTGGATATTTCAATTCAATGTTTTGACTATTTTTACTGGTTTTTGGAAGTTGTCTCCTTTTTCGTGCACTTATATGTTAACAGAATATTACCTGTGCCAGATGGTACACTCTAACTACCAGAACAATTTAAATAGTGCAACGTTTCTATAAGAAAAACTTGAGAAATTGCATGTTTATCAGTGCTCATGGGTAGAAAACACTTGCAGTTATTAAATGTATTAATTAGGGAGTTTCAGCTTATTATGAATTTGAAAATAAGAAAGTCACTGAATATGATTTCTTACATTTAGAAGATTCTATATTTGTTCAACACGTAGTCTTTATCCTGTTAAATTCCTCAGTTTTCAAATATGTAAAACCATGTTAATGTACTGGTGCATTAGTACTGAAGCGTAAGTAGTATTTGTCAAGAGCAATTAGCTCTAACAGGATCTAATAGTATAATTTCTCTGTCCACAGTAGTTCACTTCCTTTTGCATGAATAAATTTGTTGTTAATATTAGACACAAGACAAAGTATGTGTGAGGCAAATACAGAAATTGATTGATATGAGCAGTAGTAGTGAAGTTTCTTATGAGGAATTTTGTGTGTTCATTTGCATATTGTCATTTTTTGTATTCCCTTCTCTTGACCTATTCATTAAAAAAATCCAACACAAGCACATGGAAGGCAATTGTAGGGGAGCATATTATGTGGCAAAATAAATGGTCTTGTGGTGATTAGATTTGTAAAGTGATTCTGCATTCTTTCTCTTTGTTATGATAAACGTAGTTTTTTAATGGTTTTTATCTTTTTTTATGGTTTGCAAAGCAAAGAATTAAAATTCTTTGAGTTGAGGAACAGTCCCTGGGGGCTGCAAATATTCCCTGATTCAAACCCTTTAATAACAAAATTCTCTCCAGGTTATGAGTTATAGTTTTGTAATATAGTAGTTCTTAAAATGCATTCGTACATTAAATTTGGGTTCCATGTGCAGAATGTTAAATAGCTGGAAGCTGTTGTTAAGTGAGACCAAACACAATGTTTTACATAAAAAGTGCCCGTGCAGGGTAAACTGCCATTTCTCACGCTCTAGAATGAAATGACTTGGGCAAGCATCTTGAATTAACTTACAGTCAAAGCAGGCTGCAGTATTACTGGTGCAGTTTTGATAGTAATTTAAATTATTTAAACGTATATGTAAAAAATTGCAGATACCAGAAGTGAGAACATATGTGATTTATAGATGTGTAAATTGTAAGTCATCTCAGTTTAGTGTTCTAGTTGTGGCGATGTGCAGATTTAAGAAGATGTGTATGTGGGATTTTTCCCGATATTTTGCTCTAAAATATGTTTCTTTTCAAATCTCTTTCAGGCATATGTGGTATTCGTCTCTACACTAGGAGCGCAATGGCTTGAAAGGAACTTCTCTGCCTTCCTTTCCCATGTTCTAGATCTTGTGTCTCAGTCTCACCCCAAGGCTGTGCAGAGCCCGGTGGATGCTATCGGCTGTCGTCGCTGTGTTTCATTCATCCTTCGAGCTACAGTAGGAGGCCTGCTTGGGGAAAAGGCTCAAATTGCAGCTGCCAAGGAGATTTGTCAGGCCATCTGGAAACTGAAGAAAGTTGTGGGTATGGGTCTAACAAGATTATCCGTTTGGGCCTCTGTTTTTCCTTTTTTAAGTGATTGTCTAACTACCTAATCCAGAGACTGCAGAAATATAGTGCTGATTTATTACCATGATAATGTAAGAGGCTTTTGATGGGCTGCTTTGTTTTTAGCTTGGGCTGGTTATTTGTGTCTGTATGTGTGTACCCACACAAGTATAAATGTATCTTTTAACACTCCTTCACTGGCAAAAGCAATTGTAACCAATTACAAATAAAATAAAATAATAAATATATGCTATAATAAAATACAGATAGTATTTTAAAGTAAGTTAAATTGGCAGTTAATATATGTCTAGCCAGATCCTGCCTTCCTGTTTAGAGCAGTTGACATTACTGAAGGTTCAAAAAAGAAACATTTGTTCCTAATTGAAGAATGAGAATTTCTCCTGGAGGAAACATATCCCCTTGGAGGTGAAAACAAAGAGAATGCTGGGCATAAGCTGTTGTCCCCTGGTGTACAGCAGCATATTGTATTTGAGTTAAATATCTAAATGTTTTATGTCTAAACTGTCATACTTATTTGAGTCTCAAAAGATAAGCTTTCAAAAATACACCATATTTTTCTCCTCCCTCTTTATTCCTTGTCTCCACCTTCTCACTTACTTGCTCTCACAAGATTTCATTCTTTTCTTCCCTTTCTCTTTTCCTACTGTGTACTAAAATCTGGCAAATTACCAAAGCATGTCCTCTTCAAGTCACTTTTAGTGGGGCAGAGAATAGCATTCTTCTTACTAGCCACTGTTTCCCATCAAGTAAAGATAAGCAATTTGGTAGTTTCCACTTTCTATTACTAAATGCAGGAGGGTAGATAAACATCTTCTATTAGCAAAAACCTCTTTTCGATCCATTTTGTTTGATTTTGGTAATGATTTCATGGTGATTTTCTTGTACTGTGTTATCAGATGCTGCAATGAGTGACAGTAACTTGGAGACAAGACTTAATACAACAGATGTAACAGCAAGTCAGCATGTGCTTGTGTGTGCACTTCAGGAACTTGGAAGTCTTATCCAAGGCTTAGGAACGACAGCAGCACCGTTACTGCAAGACTCCAGTACAGGTACAAGCTCTGAATTATTTTGTCATCCAGAGTACAAAATATATTTATATTCCTTTGTTCATTGTCATCTTCTTTGATTTCTTATTTTGTCTTGTTTCTTCTTTGATTTCTTATGGCTATTCTTCTGGCTCAGTTTCCTTACCAGGATCTCTGTATTCTTCTGTTCTTTTCTGTATTCTTCCAATAAACTTAGAAAAAACCTGAAGAAAACAACCAAAAACAAAAAAGGGAGGAGGGAAAGTTGGCTACCTTACATGCTGTAGAAAAATTTAAGACGTTGCCCAAAGAGTTCTGTATCTTCTCCAACCTGTACAAGTATATTTATTTAAAAAAAAAAAAATCTGTATCAAATTTAATTCCATTAAGGCTTGTATTTAGAGTCCAACACTTCACAATGTTTATAATAAATCAGTTTGATTGAGTTGGGTATCTTTATCAACCTTTATCATTTTCATTTAGCTGTATTTTTTTCTGGATGGGTTGGAGTGGACATCTATTTCCACCACATGTATTTCTGCTTCCTTGAGAATGCTTACAGGTATTTTCTATGCATGTTGGTGGATAACTGTGTAATATGCTAGGTTTTCTCCATAATGTTACGTTTCATTCAGTGTAAATTTTTTTGAAAAGTATTGAATTATTTAAATTTGTTAAGATGTACCTTACAATAAAAAACAATAATAGTTTTTCAAGAGAAGTATGGAGAATGGATAGTGTTATGTTCACCAGTCCTCTGTATAGATTTTTGCTTGTTTGACAATCTGCTTGCCTATTTCTTAAGTGTATTTATGCATTTTCTTTTTCAGGAGTTCTGGAAGCAGTAATTTCCATCATTCTTCATCCCAGCATTTCAGTCAGAATAACAGCAGCTTGGTGTTTACGCTGTATTGCAGTAGCATTGCCCTCCTATGTGTCCCTGCTGTTGGATCGTTGCATCGAACGTCTTAGTACATTGAAATCCTCCCCAGAAGCAGTAACTGGCTATAGTTTTGCTGTTGCTGCTTTGCTGGGTGCAGTAAAACACTGTCCTTTAGGAATTCCACATGGAAAAGGGAAGGTATGATTTGAATACTTTACATATAAGTATTTCTTGGATGTTTTTGCAGCAGTACTTGCAAGTTTTCTTTATGATGTGCTCACATAACCCAGCATACTGATGAGATAATTTGGTTCCTCAAGAAGAGGACTTTGAAGCATACTGTAACTCAAATAAGCAAATGTTTTTTCTCAAATGTGTCAGGATTGTGATTTGTTGGGAAAGCCCTCTAATGATTTTATTAACTACTCATATTACTACCTTTTTCTAATGGAAAATTTTGTTAGGGGAGAAGTTTATTTTTTTGGAACGGAGCAGTCTAAGAGAAGGTTTACCTGGAGAAAGTATTCCTTGAGTAGTTACGTTTTTCAAATTTCCAACTAAATTCTTTACAGCAAAATTAAATCTTCTGCAATTCTATCTCAGTTTGACACTGTCTTAAATTAGAAAGCTGACATTTCAGTGGTGTTAATAGTGAGAAAAGGCTATTTTGGAGTAAATCCAGCTGAAATGTGTCAGACTTTGCCAAAGGAAAAGATCTTCCTTTTATAAAAAAAGAAATACTCTTTTAGATCTGTTGCATGCTGTCATGTTTCTGGAAGGAAAGTTATTCAGCCACAGAGTAAGCCAAATTAGTATTTCCTAGGCCCATCAATGACTCTCCGGTGTACAGCTTGGTCAGTGCTTAAAGCAGTAACAGACATTATGTATTATCTTGCAAATCTTTGGTCAAGTGCAAAGAAATGTTTAGTCAAGTACAACAGATACACACTTTTATTTTGGTTTACAGAATTTAATAGAAACCAGTTTATTGCATTATCATAGTCTGAGATGTTTGTACCAATCTCCTCACTAGTGCAGATAGGATATACAGTACCCTGAGGTTTTAGGGATATGCAGATGTAGAAATACAGACCAGGAGAAGAAGCTGTTTCCATCCTATTGGCAACCTTACCTATGGAGTTACTCATACTTGCAAAACTGGTACATCCTAAATGACATGTTAATTCTTTGCATAATGTAGAAACTTTACGTTCTCTCATGTGAAAATACCTGTTTTGGAATTAATGGACATTAAGCAAATCTTCTCAGCATTCAGAGTCCCAACTGTAAATTGAAACAATTTATAAATTTTAAAAAAAAGCGCACCTGTGTTTCTTAGCTTTTAAGAACTCTTCCTGGTGATTGCTAAAAGATCATGCAGAGAGAACAAAATTAATACAGTTTACCCACTTACATAGATAAGAAGTGCCATTCAAATACTATATACTTAAGCAGAGCTAAAGTTTCTGTTTAACAGAGAAACATAATTCTTAACAAAGATTTCTTTTAGAGGAGTACAGTAGGATGAAATAGAGCCAGGAGGAGGTATGAGAGGGCACAAAAAAATGTGTGGGAGAAATACTGTATCCTGTACTAAGCTAGCAGGGGTGAGAACAGAGCAGTTGACAAAAGCCCTTTTCCAGTCTCTCCTAGGAACACTGCCAGATTCCAGACTAGCTCCTATTCTGAGGAGCTGAAAGAGACCAGTGTTAAATAGAGCAGTTCTGAAAAAGAAGTATCAAACACAGACAACAGTGATCTGGATAGAAGCTGTTTTATATGAATTCATTTTCCTTTGAGAGAGCAGTTAACAGTTGCAGGTGGAACCTAAAGAAAATAATTAGTGAGGTTTTATACATTTAACATTCAGTACTAGTGCTTATGCTTGCGTTAAAAAAAAAATCCTTCAAAAATAAGACATTCCTCCTTGTGCATAGAGAGAAAAATTGCCAGAAATCATTAAATGACATCCTTTCTAGGATGTTTGGTTTACAGGTAATTTAAGCATGATAAGTTTTTAGTGATTTTTTTAGTAGTATAATTTAACAAGGGTACTGATTTATTTTAGCATCAAATATATTAAATCTATACAAGTACATTTCATTTCCAAACACCTGGTAGCATTATGGAACTGGGGAAACTAATACTTTCAGACTGGAAAAAAGACTTCAGAGGAAGTTTTGGAAGTGTAAAAATGTCAAAGATTCATGAAACAAACTTTCATGTGCAAACTTTTGTGTCATTTTCTAAGCGTGCAGAGAAATTATAGAAGGATATTTTCTATAGTGAGGCTTTTAATGATACTCTTGATAATGACACTTCTTACTTGTAATACTGATTTATGGGCAGTTTTGGAGACCTGACAGAATGCAGAAAGAAATACTTTTTAGCCTGTATGAAATGTAATTGAAGCAAACTACTTGCAGAATACTTACAGCATTAGTAGCCAGACTGTGGTGATTGCCTGTGGACGCAAGGTGTGCCCCTCCTTGGAAGTTCTAGGTTGCTTGTGCTTGTGCTTTGGTGACAAGTGTAATCACCTTGCACTTGGCACTTAGTGGGCATGTGCAGTTAGAGTTGAGCGGCTAAGATGGGATTAATTCTAACTATACTATTCTAACTCATTTGTTTAGCCATGCCATTTGTTGACTTGAAAAATGGTCAGAGAGGATGATAGACCTTATTCTAAAACAATGATATAAAAGATTATTACTGGTCCCACCGCTTCTTCTTGTAGGTGTCATGCTATTCTTTTTCTACATATTGACATAAATAGAATATCATAACACTTCTATCCTTCCAATGCATATTCCTGTGAGAATTATCAGTTGTCATTTTACTACTGATAAAAGAAAGGATACAAAGCAGCCGAATAACTTACCTAGTACTCCACAGAATTGTTGAAGCTGTTCCAGACTTGTTGTGAAGTCAGAAATTGCAATTTCATGAGCTTGAGTTTATTGCCATAGCATGAGGGGAAGATGCCGTCCTATCTGGGAACACTGGAGTAGGATTAAGTATCAAAATAAAAGTATTTGGAAACAAAATTGTAGTGATGCTGATGCTCTGTTTTTCTGTTTTACGTTGAAGGTAATCATGACAGTAGCAGAGGAGTTGCTGTGTTCTGCGTCTCAGAACAGCCGCATTTCACTGCAGCGAACACAAGCTGGATGGCTGTTGATAGCTGCCCTCATGACATTAGGTAGTAGCTTTCTACAATTTTTCTTAAACTCCATTAAGCTGTTCAGTGTCACGTCTCTGATTTTAGTTCTTTTGAGGTTTTGTTTAATTTACCACTGCAACATAATTAAAACCCCTCCTAAATGTTTGGATTATTTAAAAAAACTTTCTGAGGTAAAAATGTCATTTCTCTCAAATTTGCTGTTAGTTCACGGAGAGCAATGTCTGAAAACCAGTGACTGAGTGGGACCACTATTAGTTAAATGTAGAAAATAAATTTCAAAGTCAATCTAACCAAATGTCTTCATGGTCATGAAATGTTAAACATCTGTCCCAGCACAAAATGAGCTAATCATTTGTATTTCCCCCTTGTCAGGCATTTGAAATCTTACAAAAATTTCTGATATATCTTAATGGTCATATTATTGACTGTGATAAGTAAGTTACTGATAAAGAATGTTTTTTTTGGGGGGTTGATCATATTTTTAAGACACCTTTCATGTTTCAGCTATTACTTCTGCCCAACAACTCCCATTTCTTTCTTATATTATTATATTTAATTAACTTAAAACAAATGCTTACTTTCCTGAACATCATTGTTGATCATTACATCTCTTTTATGCCAGTGATCCACAGGGTCTTAGTAAAACAGAGATTGCAGTTGGCTTGGTAGCATAAATGTGTCAGTGGGCATGCAGTTATATATGAAAATGGAGTACCAAGATAGCAAACATCTGAGAAATTATACATGAGAAGGCTGGAAAAGTGACATAAGGTTTTGTTCACTGCTGTAAAGATTTTGTGAACATAGGAAGAAGGAATGAAAGAGAAAATTTAATTTTATTAATGCTGCATTGGCATGACAACTGTCAATGTTTATAGGTCCTGCAGTTGTCCAGCATCATCTGTCACGAGTGCTGTTACTGTGGAAGTGCATCTTTCCATCATCTCCTAAAGACCTAGAAACAGAGAAGACACGAGGAGATTCGTTTACCTGGCAAGTAACACTGGAAGGCCGTGCTGGTGCTCTTTGTGGTAAGTGGGATTTACTGTCTTTCTCTGCATATTTATAGTTGTGCTGTTAGTTTATTTTTCCCTCTGAAAGAAGGAGGAGACTTCATACTGATTTTTTTTCACCAGATGGTAAAGGATGTATTCACTCCCCAACACATGTGCTTGTATATCTCTATTTACATATGTATGTGTGTTCTTTGCATTGCAGAAATGTGAACTCTGGTATAGTGATCACCTCTCTCTCTCACTGTTAAGATTTATCACGAAGTGAGGAATTCAGTAGTAATTACATTTTAGAAGTAACCTAAAAAATTAACCTATAAATATTTTCTCTTTAAAAAATAGATGTTTAATACTTCATTTTCTCTAGGTGCTTTTGAAAATTAAACTCAAATTTAGTTTTTCATAAATAATGAAAAATACTTGTATACATGTTGGTAATTAAACTAAATTTTAATGGGAAACATGAAGCAGTAGGTCATTTAATCATCCTTTTCCTATTTTTTATTATTATTATGGAATTATCATGAAGTTGAGTTAGGTACTGTAACTCAGTTTATAACAAAAAGCAAAAAATAGGTCCATTTATATATGCAATTAAAAGTCAGATTATGAATGTCAAAGCTGAGACAACAAAACAGTGCATCTGTAAACATGACCTTTTTCATTTGAGATTTTTATCAGATCGTTTCTTCAATTTTATAGGCTAATATACTTTTTAATTTTGTTTGTTTGTTTTCTTCTACTTTTACATTATTAGTGATGTAATTGTGTGATTACTTTGCTGATGTGATTGTTTTCCTGCAAGATAACTCACACCAAGTAAATTAAAATCCAATTCCTATTTTAGCTATCAAAAGCTTTGTTTCCCACTGTGGTGGTCTTCTTACGGATGAAGTTGTTCGGAGACTTCTTCCTCCTCTCCCAAGTGCTGTTGATTTATTGACACAGTAAGTGTGTGTACAAAACTGTTAAATGGATTCTGGTTTTGAGAAGCTACAGACTAATCTATATTTGACTTAGTACACTTTCTAAAGCACTTTCTTTTCAAAGGACAGAAATCAGAGTCTATGTGTTTGCAGATTCCAGCGTCATGTGAAAAAACTAAGGAAGAAGCTATTGCATGGGATTTTTAAGTTAGTGTTTATATTCTACCATTTTAATCAAACATGAACATTTGTGTTTATATACCATAATTTTTTTATAAAATAAAAAACAAAGTTCAATAATATGCTTAGATAAAATCTTTTAGACATGGGCACTTTTTATATATATATTCAGAACTAAGCTGGAAAGGGGTTTATAATTTTTAAACTTTTGCCTTTGGAATATAGAGTGATTTAATGCATTTAGACTCTAAGCTATAACTTAGAGAAATATATCCAAAAAAGTTTATTGTCACAAATATAGGTAAAATCAAAGAAAATAGAAAACCTTGTTTATTTCTCTGATATTAAATAAAAGTAATGCCTGGGAATGGACAACAGACATTCTGTCAGAACATGTGAAATGAAATGGTTTCCTTCTACTTTTGGTAATGCCAATCAGAACTGTAGTTATATAATATATACCAATTTAAAAAGCATTTGGCAGAGTGGTACAAATGAAACTGGGGCGTTACGTAATGCTTGCATCTTTAACATCTCTGATGTGCTTTTTATATTTTAAGGCTCCCTTCAATATATAAATCATACGGAAATGCTTTAAAAACACCATCAACAATTTACAGACATAAACTTTATGAATTACTAGCTGTGTTGCCTCCAAAGACCTATGAAGGTATGTATTTCCATACAGAGAGAAACCCATTAAAAATACCATGGTCTCATTTTTAAGTTTGAATTTATGTTCAACATAAATTCAGGTAACAAAAATTAATTACACCCTTTTTTGTTATTCTGTCTGTTTAAATTTGATGAATTGTAGCAAAGTCACTGTGGTTTTGAAAAGTGTTCATGATGCTTTTTCCCCCTCTTCTATTATAAATACAGGCTTCTGTTACAAATACAGACTTTTGTGCTATTTTTGGTTGAAACTAGAAGGCAGACAACCTTTCCATTTCAAAGTAGTTGAAAAATTCCTTTTTTTGGATGCCTGTTCTATTTTCCATTGAATCCTGAATTCCAAAGGTGTAATCTTGGTTTAAACCAGTGCATATAGTCTATGGAAATAATTTAATTAAGTAAACATATATTACAGATATATTAACCTGATCTGTGCAGATTGTGGACAAAAAGTTCGTATTTAAAGAACAATTTCAACGAAATTTGGGAATTGACTTACTTTTCTGTAGGAGAACATAACTAGAGTATTTAAAATCTAGCCCTCTAACGCATTAACTGTGCACTGTAGTTAGGTGGGTCTAACAGTTCAGCTAAAACATTAAATACCTTTGTTGTCTTTGAATTGTTTCCATACAGTACTGTATGGACTGCAGTAAGGAACTATAGTGTTTTTCACAGCTGTAAAGAGACTTATAGGGTATTTTTTCAGGACAGAGACAATATGGCCCAGCCAGGGTCTAAATTAGCTGTGTCCTCTGTATCGTGGAGAGAATCCATGCTCAAATTATCTGCTCCATCTAGTGGTAACAGCTGAATTAATTGGGACAAATCCTTGAGTTATGCCTTAAAGCTGATGTCACATTGGAAGTCTGTATATAACACTTGAAGCATGGAGTATAATACTGATTTGTGCCTTGAATTTTAAAGATTGAAAATTACACCTCCATCTCTTAGAGCAAGTTATTCCTTTTGTTCCTTTATTACAGGGGTAACATTTTATAGAATACAGATATTTGGTGTGGGTTTGGCAGTTTCTTGGTGTGTTTGAGATTTCTGTGTATGTTCTAACTTTATTGAAAATACACTGTTTTAAGTGTGACCTGCAAATTTCATGTGAGAGAGCATCGTAGCTGAGGGTGCTGCATTCTAGATCCAATAAATAAAGAAAAAGCTTGAAAGGTTTGATATAAATAAGTGGTCACCCTGCTGAAAGCTTTGAAAATAGCCTTAGAATCAAAGCAGTAATTTGCCAGGTGTAGTCTCAGACATATCCACCCATGTGTATGAGAGTGAGGAAGGAATGGAAATGCATACATTGCCAGAACTTATTTCCAAGGTCTGCTATGTATTTTAACATGTAAGTGTGCATCATTTAAAAATGTGATGAAAAGTTGCTAAGGTAAAACTTGAAACCTTCTTTCCATATTACTTCCAGTATGAAAGCTTCATGGAGAAACTGTTTGTCTTTGCAAATACCTGGATTTTTAAAAATAGTTTATTTAGGAAAACGACACCATTTTGAAACCCATGATTCTTTTTTCAATGTCTAAATTCAGTCATTTTCAGTAAGAACAATATTAGGAGTACTTCTGTGTTGCACAGAATGTCACATTTTGCATGGCTCAGAATAACACACTGAATGAGAAACTTTCACCAGTTCATGGTTTTATTTCTTTTGTATTTGTTTTCTTTTGAGTTGTAACTCAAGCTTTTAGTATTTGCAAAACTTGTTTTCTTTAGCACAAGAGGAACAAAACAAAATACCCATACCAAAACAAAACATCTGTTGAAAACAGATCCTTTATTCATACATCCCAATTTCTGTGTCAATTCCAGCCTTTAGATTTCTGAGACAGTAGGACTTGTTTAGGCTCTGCTTGGTCCTTTCCTGCTCACTTTCTACCTCTTACAGGCATTTTCTTTTACTGTTTTCATCACTAAAAATCAATATCAGCTCAAACAGCAGAATTTTACGAAGACCTACCATGAGTGTGCATGAATAGTAACTGATTTTTTTTGCATTAATTCAGCGATGGCAGAAATTAAAAGAACTCATTAGGTGAACTTGAACATCAGTGAAATACACTGAACATGTTTTAGTTGCTGTCTTCCAGTGTGTCTGAACAGTTAAGAGGCTTTGCATTTTATCTGATCCAAAGTATGAACTTTTTAAGCTGGGGAAAGCTGTTTCTGTTTCTAAGATGACAAATCATATTTGTGATCATTTTCATGTGTCATTAGTTTCGGATTATAATGTGCTTATCTTTTTGAGGCTAAACAGCTATTTCCTGTTAGTTAATATAAGAAGTTTTATAATGTCCAAATTGAAAACTTCACACAAATAATTTCAGTAGTCTGAATTTTATTAGATTTGTTGATGTTTTCTGTTGTCTGAAATAATGTGTTTTGTCAGACAACTCATTAAGTTCCTTTTCATTCTTCAGCTTTTTGTGTTTGTTACGTTCCACTGTCTAAACCATAAAACTGAATACAAGCATTCACTTCTATTTCTTAATAGGGTGAGATGAAAAGCTAGAATGCTGGAACAGCATGCTTGGCTCAAAATTTGGAATGGCTTTACATTGGGAAAATATTGTTTGACATGTTGAGGGTTGCCAAGTGTCTGGGACTAAAATAAATTCTTATCTGGTTAAAAAATTGGTATCTCAATTACATTTGGTTTTAAAAGCTGTTTTCATAGGAAGGAGATTTAAAAAAAAAAAAAAAGTTGTGATGAGCAACAAAGAAAGAACAACTTCTAGTTGTTAACTACCATGTTTTTTTAAAAAGGCTCAATTTCTGTCCCTTGCACACACTATCTGTGCACCTTGCAATATATTTGATAGTGTTAACTTTTTTGCATTTAGATTTGAGTAAAGCATTTTGGAAAATTACATACTTGTTTAATTATTCAGGGAGGCAGGCAAAGCAACAGATGCCTGCAGGGAAGACAGGCTGATGAGGCTGGGAGTTTGGTAAGTAGGGGAGAGAAAGCCAGCTTTCTCAGAAGAGTTTCAGTTATCAGAAAGGGTAAAAAAGCTGGTTGTAGCTACCAACTCCAACTAGACTAATTCTTCTTATGCTTATGGGGTGCTGATAACTGTGTTGTCCCATTTTTTGGAAGTTCCATGTGTTGAGAAGTGATAAGCAATTTTAATGCAAACAGGTAATTGTGTGATCATCTAAATTAAATGCAAAGAATTGGATGTGTGGAGTTAAGCTCCTCCTCTTAGTGCTGAAATTTCCCCATTCTTGAGGACTTGACTTTGCAAGCTTAATGCTCTGGAGGTAAATTCTTATGTAAGATTTGTATAAAGACTGTGTGCTTCTTTAAGATCAGTTCTGCAGTTTTTGAACACAACTTAATTATAAACCAGACCTTTCTCATCACATGTGGTTCAGTGCTGGAAATGTTCTCTCACTACAAGGACTATTTTAATGACCTAAAATAGTCTGAGTCAAAATGCCCAGGGTTATTGTTTATGTATAACGTACAACCTTGTCAGAAATATTAAGTACAAAAATATGTGAAAGTCAACTACCAGTGTAATTTATCATAATGTAACCTACAGTAAATTCCTTCTGCTTTGCTTTTTGCATGCTAACTCATAAAACAGGGGAATAAGCTCATCAGATTTTGTTATTTATCAAACTTACGGATGTTTTAAATTACCTCTGCTTGCCAAGTCCAAGTATTCCCATGTAATACATTCCACAGCATTAATTTTCAGGAAGTAGAAGAAAATACAGCTATGTTTATAACTGCCTTTTTTCCTCTAATTAATAGTAAATGTAACTAATTTACTGTATTATCACCTGTATGGCACTGTGCCTCCTGTAAAGGTAAAAGTCTTTGCTTTTCAACTTCTAGATTGCTGTATGTGCTTAGCTTGCTTATCTCAGATACTGTTCTGTTGTTTCCCCTGTAACAGAGAGGGTTCTCCACTTAACTGTTTGAAGACTTGAGAGAAATGTTAGATGAATGTTGCTATTTTGGTATAAATATCTTGCATCCCAGAGTTGCGAGTAATTAACCAGAAGTTTCGCATATTTTTCTTCTAACTTAAAGGAAGTTTCTGTGCTGTTCTGAAAGAGTTAGTGACTGATTTGACTGTCCCAGATAGCCAGATTGATGCCTCTACGTTCTTGCTTCCACCGCTTTGTCATGAGAATGATCTCATTTTACTCGGTCCCTTACTGCAGGAGACTGACCACCGATTTATTGAAGAGCAGGTACTTTTGTTTTGTTATAAAGGTAGAATTATAGTTTCATACAGTTTTGTTATTAGGGTCTGTGCTAATTTAGACTTGGTCAAAAATGTGGCTACCCCTTTTTTCTTTCTTACAGCTCCTTTTAGGTAGCAGCATAGCTAGTGGCAGCCTGGAATATGACCCTTATGCAATTTATGAGAAAGCTGGAAAAGGGGACTCAGTACCTAAACCACTACCTCCTGCATTATCTGTTATCAGTGCAGCAACTCGACTTTTTGGAGTTATGTTTTCCCATATAGCAGAATCACACAGGTAAAGTAGTAACTACAACTGCTGGGGAATTTGGGAGATGTTTTGAGATGGTCACAGTGGTTGACATTAAATACAGAAGAAAACAGTTCTGAAAAAATAGTGAATTGCATAAGTGGATTCTGTAAACCATATGAATAATATGGTTTTGATAGCCAGATCAAAATGGAAGGTATTTTAGGAGCTGTTTCACTATTTTTGTGTTGCTTAATACGTAATTACTAAATACCTTAGAAACAAAGAAGGACGAAAGGGGTAGGAAGCTGCAGCATAAGGAACCCTCATCCTGACTCATTCTTTATAAAAAGTAGATGGGAAGAAACATGAGTGTTTGTCTTACCACAGTTCTGTCAAGGTACAAGAATGCTCCAAAGGGATCACAAAATTCTCTTGGGTTTATGTGCATGATCTTCCTACTGCACACATGGCATTTTGGTTTGTTTCACATTTATAAGCACACTGAGTGCTCAGGCATAAAATTCCTTAAGATTTTTGTGTGCTGTTGCTTCTTCTGTGTGCTGCTGGTAATATTTTTGAATGCGGCTTTAGAGCAGATCAATTATTTTTAAATTAAACAGCTTTATATTTTCAAAGCCAACTGTAGTTAGACCCCAGATCATGATCATACTTTTTCTAACACAGAATACACAATTTTTTTGTAGGAGACAGGAATACCATTTAAAGGAAAATGCTCAAGAGTTAATTTGCTCCACCTCTGTTTCTGTAATACATAGGCTTTTTATGGGTTTTAAAATAAAATTTAAAATTTTGATTTATTTTCTTAGCTTTCAATTCTGTGGTTTCTTTTCTGTTTTTGTTTAAGGCTTCAGGCATTAGAACAATTGTTGAACTCCATAAAGCAAACAAAAGGATCACGACAACAAATAGTACAACTACATGTTGTGTCAGCCTTTTCTACTTCCTTGAAGGTAAATCTCCTCTCTCTGTCCTTTCTTTCCTTTGTTTCTCTCTCTCAGTTACTAAAATATAGTTATACCTGTTCCTTCAAATGTGTCAGCTGCTGTGGTTTAAACCCAGTCTCATGATATTCTGGTTTGTGCTTCTGGTGCACCTGCTCTCTGGCAGAGCACAGGAAACTAAAAAAGCCCTAGACTTAGCATAAACATTACCTAGCAACAATCAAAACATCAGTGTGTTCTCAGTATTCTTCTTGTCTGAAGACAAAACAGCACTGTACCTGCTATTAGAAAAATTACTACGAAAATTAACTATATTCCAGCTGAAAACATCTGTAGATGTAAATTCAGAGCTATCAGCATAAGGCTTCAGCTAATTCAGCAACTCATGCTAAGCCAGTTAAGTGAGGCAAACTGCAAATTAAATCACACAGTCTTATAACTCTATGTACTCCTTTTACTTAAAACTTATTTATGCTAAACAACTCTTTTAACAGCTAAATGGTATGGAATATCCCTCTTGTCACTTGAGGTCAGCTATCTCAGCTGCATCCTCTCCCAACAACTTGTGCACTTCCACCCTGCTCACTTGTAGGGTGGTACAAGAACCAGAAAAGGCCTTGGTTCTGTGTAAGCACTGCTCAACAATAACAAAACCAACTCAGTATTATCAGCCCTGTGTGCAGCACAGATCCAAACATGGCCCCATACCAGCTACTGTGAAGAAAATTACCATTACCTCAGCCCAAACCAGCACATTACACAGAGGTTCTTGTTTTGATTAACAGCCAAGGTGAAGATCAATCGTGTTTTCTGTGATAATATATTGTTTTGTGTTGTCATAGCTTTCTTGAGTGCTAAGGAGTCACTGTTTAGTTTTCACCTTTTTTAATGTTAGTTTTAGGGAAACACTGTAGTATACCAGCATCCTTACTAGTGTCATTCAAATAAGAGAGAGATGGAAAAAATCTGTTTGTGTCATTTCTGTCTTTATCACTGTCCCTTTCAAATTTCTTATTGTATAAATAAAAATTAACAATTGGTAAAAAAAAGTGATCTCAGAACTATCTGCCATTTGTTGCATTTCCCTAATGGTTTATTTATAATTTCCTCCATTCATGTGCACTTTTCATTAATCCTTTCTTATTGTTTCTTAATAAGGCAAAATGTTTTCAGAGTAGGCAAGAGCTTTCATTGTACAATATTTGTATTTGAAGCATATTTAATATAGAATCCAGATAGCTGCTAGAGCTTTTGTTCATACTCTTATTTTGGACTGAGATTTTTCTTTGTGTCTTTCCATTCTCACTGGTTTTCTTCTTGATATTATTTCCTAAATTTTATGCTTATGTGTTGGTTTATTGTGTTCTACTGCAATCTGTCCAGTATTTCTTAAAATAGTCATGTTGATATTATAATGCTGTGCTGTGATGTACACTTATGTGGTGTTAGATGTCTAACTCAAAACAGCAAATAAAAAGAGAGGAGTTCCTCAGATAAAGGGGAAGAAAATAAAATTCCTTCGGCAGGTCTTGTGTTTTTTGCATAACAGAAAAGCTCATTCTGCTTTGTATTCTGTTTAATATATTTAATATTTATTTTTAGCATTTGGCTAACTGCAAGGGAAGTTTAGGTTCAGAAGAAGTTAGAAGGTCTGCCCTGGCATTGGTAATGGGTGCTTTGGAAAGCAATAATCCACTCCTGAGATGCGCTGCTGCAGAGTGTTTGGCCAGATTGGCACAGGTGGTTTCTGACAGCGCCTTCACTGCCGGATTAGCACAAGTCAGTTTTGACAAGTAAGTTCAAACAGAAGTGTGGTTGCTAGTTGAGTTTATAAAAATGTTTGAGAAATCTACCTAGCGATTATTATGATAATTTTTAAAAGATGATTTCCTTCATGAATTTGATGTCACTTCAGAAATTAACAGGAGAAAGCACTGCCTGAGTTCTGCATGAAGTTCTTAGTTTTGATGGTCTTGAAGAAGATTGTCTAAGTAACCATGTAGACTTTCAAATAAATTAAATTGTCTGCTGTTCTAGCAACATCATTTAAGTGTATCTAAAATAACTTTGCTACTTTCTTCAGATAATAAATGATATATGAACTTAGAATTTTGGCAATATAACAATGTCTAATTAAATGTTTTGCTGATTATATACCAGAAATTTCATTTGTAGATGTGCTTATTGCATAGTAAGAGTCTTGCTGATTAAACTAACAACTTTCTTTCAATTAATAGGCTAAAATCTGCTAGGGATGTGGTATCAAGAACAGGTCATTCTTTGGCTCTGGGATGTCTGTATAGGTACCTAGGAGGAATAGGTTCTACTCAGCACCTGAATGCATGTGTTGGAATCCTGTATACTTTATCTCAGGACAGTACTTCTCCTGATGTACAGGTACTTGCCACTTATATAAAAATGTTATGTTACAAATTAATTGAATTATAGTCTGGGGTATAAGATTTCTTTTCTTGTAAGAGTAACACTTCACAACCTCTTAGGTATACCTCACAGGTAATGGTTGGAGCAGCAAAGGCAGTGTAGAAGATAGCCCCTGCTCAAAATCCAACAACTTTGCTAGCAACAACTATGATGATATGTGGGAACTTCTTATTTAATGATCAGTGAGGCTGATAAGTGTGAGATATACTGGCTTCAGAAACAGTATCTCATGTTTTAGGAATTAATGCATTTCACATTCACCTATATCTTGACTTTGACTAAGTTTTTTTGTTTGTGTTAGTTTTTGTCTCTTCTACAATGTTTACATCACATTTTTTGTTGAAGGGTCATGTAGTAAATAACAGGGATTTGTAGCATATATGCTGTAGAACTTGGTGAATATACATCCTTGAATAATACAAGAAGTTTTGAAGACTAATTCACATTATTTCTCTGTGACTAAAACTGTTATCTATCAGAATAGCTTTAAGAGACATTGAGTGTATTTAATGTGTTTGTCTAAATCTCAGTTAATGAATTTTTAAAGCTTTTTTCACGAAATCTTTACACAGAGAAGAACTGTATGTTGACATGAAACACATGTGGCTATTGGTGGAAAGTAACTGCAACTAAAACAATAGGTTGCTTCAGCAACTCAGTATTTTTCACAATTCTCTTGTTCTTGCACATGGAACTATAAGAAACTTTTAAAAAAGGAAAATGTATTCAAGGAATAATAATCACTATTAACTTACTGTTAAATTCAAATTTTTGTCAATTAACAATGACATATTTGAAATGGTTATTGCTTTGCAGAATATACGGTTCCTTGTAAAATATTCAAAATTACTTATTCAACATCAGATTCTTAAGGTTTCTTTCTATAACCTCTCCATTTGTTCCTTTGGAACCTAAAAGTGCAACTTATGTTGCACTTCATTACTCAATTTCACTTGAACTATCAAGTTTTCAAAAGATCTTACGTTTATCACATAAAAATTACATTACTTCTCTTATTTTACAGGCATGGGCACTACACTCTCTGTCACTGATAGTAGATTTGGCTGGGCCCTTGTATCATGTGCATGTGGAACCTACCTTGTCTCTTGTTCTCATGTTGTTGTTGACTGTGCCTCCTGCTTATGCTGAAGTTCACCAAAGCCTTGGTCGCTGTTTAAATACACTCATTACCACGCTGGGCCCTGAGTTGCAAGGTATATAACATACATGAGCTTGGTTTGGATTAGCAACAGAAGTGCTAAACATCGTCTGAATGTGTGTTTGCAGTTGTAGCCAGTAAGGAGATGCTAAGATTTTTTTCCACATTTTAAGACAGTATTTCACAGACCATGACTTTATGCAATCAAGGTGACATGACTGCTAGTTTTCTAAAAATAGTGTGTCTTCTTGACATCATTTCATTTGTTTGAACTGGTTCTCCAAGCCTTGCCTGGGGCTGAAATTTTTTACATGAATCTTTACATTTTACAATTCTAAACACTTTTACGTCTTATAATTCTAGCATGAGAGCAGAAGGTACTCATATTTCAAGAGTTAGGAGCCAATCTGTGTCTTAGTTGTGATGCACACATTAAAAATTTGCATCTAAATCACCTTTTAGATAGCCGGACACTGAAATTTCCAGAGAGCAGCGTGATCATTACTCGTTGATATCGAAGTATAGCACAGAGACAGAAGTCATCCTTCAAGAGGATGAATGTTGGCTGGCTTAGGAAAAAACAGGTTATCATTTTTATTAAAAAAAAAAAAAAAAAAGATGTTTTAAAACCAAAAACAAAATTCTACTTCTTTTATTCCAAATATAGGCAGCAGTACAACAGTTTCAGCCTTAAGAACTTCCTGCCTCTTGGGCTGTGCAGTGATGCAGGATAATCCTGACTGCCTTGTTCAGGCTCAAGCCATCTCTTGCCTTCAGCAGCTTCACATGTTTGCTCCTCGACACGTCAACTTGTCTAACCTTGTAAGCTGCCTATGTGTGAGTATATATTTACTAGTCTATAACCTTGTATTTTAAAACATTTCGTTCGGAAACACTTAAAAATGCAGATGTTTCTTTAACCAGAGAAAACTGGTCATTGTGTAGGGGTGTTTCATGTCCTCCTACAGGCAAGTATTCTGTATTTTTTCTTTTTTTTTCCCCTCACCTTCTGCTTCCCCTTTACAAGATGAGCACAAGATTTCTGTAGAAATCTTGGCCTTCTGAACTGCTTACGAGCACATTCTGCTGCTCTTAAGGCCAGTTGTCTGGCAGGATATACCATTCATTACAAATTTTTACTGGATTTTTACCAGCTATTTTATGCTGACCATTTTTTTCCTTCTGCTGCTTTTTATGCCTTGGGTGAAAGATTGCTTAAAAATATTTGTGTGTACTGATTACTGAGAATTGTTTGGTTTCTTTTTGTTCTTTCATGATGCTGAAAAATTATAGATTTCTCTGTTTTGTGATTTCTGTAGCACTAATACTTTGGTGTACTGACATCTTGGCAGTCAGTATAAAAATTTCTGACAGTTACGTAAGTAATAGTCAAACCAGGTCTTTGGAAAAAATAAACAAAACTCTTTTTCAATCCCATTTGACAAGAGGTGGGAGAGTTTATTTGCTGTGGGGCTTTTTTTTTTGTTTCTTTCTGTTTTCGCTCCATATCTCTCTGTCTTTGAATAGTTTTTGTTCTGAAGCACTTAAGAAAAAAAAAGTTTAAAATAATCTTCTGGTAGTTATTAGCCCTGGTGGATTTTTGTGGGCTAGTTAGAAACAAAAAAACCACAAAGACAGTAAAGTATGACGGGGTTTTGTTTTAATTTTGTCTCTATTAACACAGTTCTTATTCACATCTTCTACTGGGTAGCTCGTGTATCCATACTGACCATATATTAATTTTTGATAAAGTTTAGATTCCTCTGGTTTTCTTTATTCAATTTGACTAGCAATGTGATTGTGGGAGGTAGGAAAAATTGCAAGTCTTTCAGTCCACTTTGTGATAGGCATGAATATGCTAATTGCAGAAGAACTGGAACTAGTCTGAAGTGTTCTTTGTTTTAACGTACACTAAGAATTATTTTCTCTTCTCTGGGTAAAAACCAGTTTTTCTTACATTGATAAAATCATGTAAGTCACTCTCTTGCTCAGGGTATGTATTAGCATTTGGGATCATTTTTAAGTCTGTGTACAGTCTGCTTCTATGTCTCTAACTAATATCAAGTACCTACTAATACAGAGGATGTAATTATGAAGTTGTTTATACGATATTACTGATTTTTATTGTTTTTACAAATGGTCTCAAAGTACTTCATACAGTACTTTATGAGCATCCTAATGTTAAATTACTCAATTAAGAAAAAGCATGGTTCGTAGCTCAAGTGTGTATGTTCATTCATCTGTACACGTGTGTGATCCCCTCTAACCCAGACACGATTCTGGGCTTCATGGGGTGGGAATCCAAAGAAATCACTGGCCTTACGTGGGTCAACTTTTCCCACACCCGTGATCTTGTTTTACAACTAGGGAGAATATTGGTGACACTCACAATTTAGTAAATGCCAGTATATCTCTGAAGAGTATCATAAACAGGGTTTGAGTGTGTGCTTTTCAGGCCTGTGAGAAGATAATTGCACCATCAGAATGCTGCATTATAGAACTCGCCATCCATCCATGTAGTTTCCACCCACTAAATCACCATCTCACTAGGGAAGCAGAATAAATTACTGGATCTGAAATCTGCTCTTGACTCTGCTGTTTGCTCGGAAGGTGACCCTCAACTAGTCATTCTTCATGAGTTTAAATGTCTGCAAGTTGGAGAACGAGGTGCTACTGTCCTCCTTTGCAGTGCATTTTGAAGTAGCACATAAAAACTAGGCACTAGATAGTGTGAATATTCACCACTGCATTCCTTATTTGGGGCAGAAAAACAGGAGAGACAAAGAATCTGTGGTCAGACGAGTGATCTTTTACCCCTCTGTCCATGAATTCTCTCTCAATTTGAAAACAAATGTGCAAAGAATTTTTTTTCCTTTTTTAGTAGCATTTAGTAGCATAACCCTCTTCACCCTATTTCCTCTCTTACCTTCCTCTCCTCTCTCATATCCCCCCTCTTCTCTCCCTCTCTCTCTTCCCCTCGTCTCTTCCCCCCGTCCTCCTCCCCTCACTCTCTGCCTCTCGTCAGACATGCTAACAATTTCTGCGAGCAGCTGCAAGCTGCCTCCTCCACCTGTCTTCCCAGCCCTTAGAGGATGAGATGGTTCAGGTCTCCAAAGTATTTGGACAGTTCAGGTTGTGACTTTGCTAGCACTAGTAAAACATGATTTAGGCAATGGATACATTGCTTCAGTGGCTCATTTTTTTGTGTTACTTTTTTTTATAATTGTGTACATGTGCCTGTCATCATCTAGCTTCCCTTCTTCAGTTTCTGAAAGTGTTCAGTGTTGATCAGTTGGATCTTTCATGGGGTGTCTAACAATAATGCTTATCCTGCTGTTTGAATTCTTGGCTCCAGCAGAATAGAAATTGTATGCTTTTAATCATGTCTGAAATTAACTCTGAAACTAGCTCAGTTAAGCTCAGACTTCCAAAGAGCCTATCCATGTAAGCTTACGATGTAGTATTCCTCAACGTAGTGAATGCCAGTTTTCAGCTCTAAGATATTGAAGATATTTTGAAACACAATAAGTGTAAGTTGGTAATAACTATGCTGTACTGTTGGCTTGGTACTGGTTAAGTACTAATTATAGAGGTAGCTGGATTGCAATTTAAGTGTGTTCAACTTTAAATATAAATGAACTAAGCGAATTAGGGTTCTGGTATATTTGAGGTAAGATTCTGAATTTTAATATATGCTGAATTTACATGTTACAGTCTCCATGTGTGGTTGATATCACTGTGATATCTATATTTTGGTTTTGTCATGACTGGTTTGTCGTTTGTTTTTTGTGCAGGAAATCTTGTTGGATAATTCTGTGTTGGTAGGTCCCTGTGCCTTGTTAATCCTAAACGTTTGCAGTTTGCAGTGGTGTTTTTATTTCATCTTTTATCTTTCTTTTTAACCATTTTAATGTAATTTCTTTTAGCATGTCAAGTGACATTTTGTTGTCATCCTAACCAGATCCTTCCTAACTTTCTGTAGATGGCAGGCATACATTTCATTTATGTGCTTAGTGAGGAACAATTTTGGTTTTAACGTGTTAAGCAGAGAAAGGGGACTGTTTGTTTAAGTTTTAATGTGATGCTTGCATTTTGTGTCTGTCATTTAGTCCTGTCCCCTGCTTAGAATGTGGAAGAATGAGAGAGATGAAAAATGTGCATCTTGAGTTATTTGGTAGCCTGAATTGGGTCCTCTGTTTTTTCCCCTATTAAAAATGAGCACGGAATTTATGCATGTCCAACTTGAAGTAAAATGTGTAGCCTGCTTGCATAAGTGTTGCATTAAAAGCCTCACTTGTTATAAAGTTTCAGTTAAACTATCTTGCAGACATACTTGTTGAGTCAGATTTCTTGTAAAAGAATTATGCAGAGAGTGTATCTTTTTACGTATTAAATCTGTAAATCTGAGTATTGTAGATTCATGTGCATGCATAGAAATTCCAAAGAGGAAGCTTAGTTTTGTTCATCTAACAAAGCTGAAATTCTGTATTGCTTCCTCTTTTTGTCCTTAAGTTGTTTTTTTTTTTTTAAATATATGTTAACTGATATATATTAGTCATTTTGACTAACATATATTGGCCTGTTGCTGCCAAATGAGGAGCATTAGTCTTATATCAAGGTTTTCCTGCAGCAGACACTCAGCTCTATTTTAAGGATGGAAATAGCTAAGGGAACACAATTATAGTTATAGAGAATAATTTTCTTTTTTGTAACCTACACTTAATTTAAAAGAATCTGCACAAGTATTGGTGCAGCCATCTTGCTTGACCACACAGCTAATTTATCGTATCTTTGGGATTCCCTTCAGATTTTCTTAAAATTGAAAGCAAGAAAATAAAAATCAGAAAGCTCCACACTAACAAAAAAACCTTGAGGCTATGTCTTAGGTTTTTTAAGTGATTTTCCTTGTTCCAGTAATAATGAATCTACGATCATGTATTTTCTAGTATAAAAAAAACACTGGCCTAGTAGTTGTAAAAGATGGTGGTGCTGTGAACTTTTTGCTAAAAACTGCTCAGAAGAGCTGACCTGTCTTAGTGTGATACATTCACCAGTAACTCTCACCCTTTCTCTCACCTTTTCTAAAACATAATTTGCTGTAAACTGAGTGTATAATATTTTTTTGCAATGAAACTGCAACAGTGTTCTCTTCGCCCTTTCTTTTAAACTTCCTTTCATGCATGGAGTTCAGATTTACTAAAGCCTGATTGACTATCTCACCCTTGGTTACGTTGGCATTTCTCTCATTACATCTGAGGATGATTTAGTGATTTTCTCTTGTACTGAATTTTCAAGTCCATTATATATGTATGTCCTATATCAAAGAATAGAGTTGTTCATTGAGACCATGATTCACCTGTCATTGAAGTTAATGGGGGTCTTTTTACCAATATTGGTTGGGAGCTGGATTCAGCCCCAAAGCAGTATTAAAAGTTGCCTTTGGAGAGAAAATGCTAAAAGCACTGATATATTAAAATTGATTACAGGTGTTGCAAACCCTTTCATTTGGGGGTAGGACCAAAAAAAAAAAAAGCTGAGCAAAAAGAGCGTCAATTACATGTTTGCTGACATAACAGATTTGCCGTAACTGCAGTTATTCAGAAAATACCAGCCTTTCTGAGGTATCGCTGTAGAGGTTTGTTAGCCATCTTACTGTATCTTCTTGCATGTTTCAGATGAATCTCTGTAGCTCATACTTACTGCTGAGACGTGCAGTGGTAGCTTGCTTACGTCAGCTTGTGCAAAGAGAAGCTGCTGAAGTGTCAGAATATGCTGTTGCATCAGTAAAAGAGAGCAGAGAAGATTTTACTCCAGGTAATGTATTGACGTTTTGAGATCAAAGAGCTTGACACACTGACAGTGAATTTTTAACTCAGTCTGCTATGGCTATGAAAACTTTGCTACACTCTTGAAATCTTGAACTCAAAAAGGTTTTCTCCCTCAGTTCTCTTTATAGTACCAACTTACGATAAAATGAAGAAAATGAGAAAATGCAAGTGGAATACCAGAGAAAGCTGAGCCTATCTAGCCAGTAGCTGTTGTAATAACTTTTTGCCAAAAGGCCTGAGACTGATCACTAGTTCATCCTCATGGGCCTTTCTGTGAGGAGATAGTGGTAATAAATGATTTCACTTCAGATTTCAGTTCAAGCTTGTTTGGAAGTTTTCAAAAAATATAGACCATAGCCATTTTGTAAAACTGCTGCTAAGTAAAATTCATAATATCAAGCAAATAAAACTTGGTCACAGTAATTTAACAAATTATTTCTGTGTGTCTGTCTGGTTTTGTGCTTTGTCGAAGAATAGTTTTAACTTCCCTTTCAAGTTAAAACCTTGTTTTAGAATTACCTTATGAAGTAAGATAAGTGAAATAGCAGTCAAAATGAAAATTAAATCACTATGAAATATCATATGGCCAAAGGTAATCTTTTTCAGGAGCTCAGATGCTATGATGATGATAATGCTGTGAAATTCAGAGTAGGATTTTTTTTTTCCCCTCTGGGGTAACTTTCTTCCTGTTTTTACTGTGTTTCTGTAAAAACTCAAAGTTTGTTTTGTGTTCAGATACAGTATGAAAACAGCTAATACAGTTGTTTTGAAAATATTTCAGGGCTAGAAGGTATTTGTTCAAAAGGTACCCCACGTGCAACCTACAGTGAGGTTTCTGTTGTCATTACTGCAGTTTTATGATGTGCAGTATTCAGCTCACACTTTGTTCTTAGCAGATGTGAACATCAGAGAAATAGGCCTGGAGGGGGCATTGCTGGGCTTGCTGGACAAAGAACTGGATCAAAGATTATGCCAAGATATCAAAGAGACTCTGACTCACATGCTGACTTCAATGGCAGTTGAAAAGCTCTCTTTTTGGCTGAAGCTTTGTAAAGATGTTCTTGCTGCCTCTGCTGGTAAGCCCTAATACACAGTAGTTGAGAACACCATCAGAATAAGGTCTGCAGAAGTACCTTATGTCACTAAGGAAAAGTATTCATGTTTCTTGAAAGTTTGGCATTTAGGAAGTGTATCATCGTCCTTCATATTGAAAGATTGGACCCTTTAACTTAGTTCCTTCAGAGGAATGAATATGCCTTTCTCCCTTCTGATTGCCTTTTCCCTGTTGAATAAGTTTTTGTCAACATCTTGACATGTGTTACGTGTTCATATTCTAACTGATTTATAGTCCTGAAGTTAACTTATTTCCATATTAGAAATGAAAATGCAGAGTATGTTTGAGATCATGAGTCCTTTGCAATTACCTACAAGAAAAATATTCAGATGGGCCCTTCTATTACTAGTAGGAATGATGCAGACCTACTATATCAGGATGAAACTCTTGAGCAGGCAAAATTAATTGCTGTGCTGAATATTGGGGTGGAGGGGAAGGGAGAAGGGAAATTCTTTTACCTGCAGTGCAGGAGGAAAATAAGAATTTAGATTTTTTGATTTGGAACCATTACTAGCTTCTAATGTGTCACACTTATTTTAAAAGATTCTTTCACTGCAGTTCTTAGTTTACTTTTGTGGTGTTGACCTTATTTTCCAGCAACTAATATCAACCAAATGTAGGCAGTTTTGTTATATTTTAATTCTAAAGACACCGAGATTGAAGGGAATTTAAGGCTAGAGATAGACTTTGAAGAGATTTCCTTATGACTCTTTATGTAGTTTTCAGTTACAGTAAAAAAGAATATTATATTTTGGTTTTTGTCTCCTGTGTCCTAAATACAGATTTCAATACAGTGGCTTCAGTAGACACCACTCAAGAAGAGGAAACTGCCAAAGTGGATGATGCATCTGTTTTAACATCTGACAGCGATGACAGGTTCCATCCTTTCCGAAATCCACGATGGTCTACAAGAGTTTTTGCTGCAGAGTGTGTTTGTAAAATTATAAACCAGTGTGAACATGCATGCAGTGCACATTTTGACATAACTTTGGCTCAGGAAAGAAAACAACGTGATTCAAGAGGTATGTGTTACGCACTGAAAGAATTCAATAGAATGCAAGGTTTGCTTAAAGTAAATATTAGCTCTTTGCATCTTAGCAAGTTCATAATAAATTTGTTGTTTGTAATCAATTAAGCCTTTAATTATTCTGATTAGAAGCCTGTATTTATTAAGGTGTAGAGCAATTTTTGTTTGCTAAAATATTGGCATCGTACTGCACCATTTACACTCAGTTTCCTGTTTATAGTACCATGGCATAGTTGTAGGAAGCCATTGTTTCTGCATAAGCACTGGCAGTCAGAAGTGATAGCTGGCACCAGCCTACAACATCACAGTTTAGTATCTGGGAGTATGACTAAAAAAGCACCACTTTTTATTTTTTCCCCATGATTTGCATAATTACCAGTATAAACTCTGCCATTTCTTGGTACCTCTCTGTGTTTATCTGGAGGTGTTTTCCTCCACACTCTTTTTTAGAAAATCTGCCTCATACGTAAAGATATTTACACTTTATTCTAAGTACTTTATTTTTACATGTAAATGGAAAGCAACCTAGATCAGCTAACATCAAATATCCTAGTAAGACTGTTGCATGTGTAAGCTGCCTAAAGTGATATGTTAAGGTAAAATGTAAAATGCTAAATTTGAAAATGTTTGGATCAGTCTTATAAAACACATTATGTCTGAATCTAAATTTAATAAAACTATTTTGTTTTTTAATTTCTCTTTTCAGATGACTTTTTAGTATTGCATTTAGCTGACTTGGTTCGTATGGCTTTTATGGCTGCCACAGATCATAGTGATCAACTTCGTCTTTCTGGGCTTCAAACATTGCAAATGGTTGTTCGGAAGTTTGCAGCTATTCCAGAACCAGAGTTTCCAGGTCATGTAATTCTGGAGCAGTATCAAGCCAATGTAAGCACCATTGCTAATAACTTCGAAAAGTTTAGAGTTACAGTCAATCACTAAAAGGAATTTGCTTTTGCAGTGCATAAGCATTGGATTAGTATTGTTAATATTTTTGAACTTAACTTCCTTAGAAATCATCTTTTCTGTTGGCATATAATGTCTTAGCTCCAGAGTTTTTCAAGTTTTGGCATTTTGCCCTCTTGAATACAGCAAAACCAAAATGGATCATTTGGTAGGTTGTTTTTGGAAAGCATTGGTTTTAAAGAGTGGTAGTATTGCAGAAAATATTAGAACAACTGTAATTTTAAATGCTGCTCAGAAGTAAAGAGCCTTTGCATACCAGTGATCACACTTGGAGATATTGGCCAATAAATAAGCTAGAGGAGGTAAAAGCATGGATTATACTCAAAAGGTCCATTTCAGTTAAGTCTTGACTGAGACTTAGAGAAAAGATGTCCTAATCATTTTGCATTCCAGACTGCACTTGTGTTAAATACAGCAGAAAGCTGCGTTAAGCCTCATCTGGCTCCCATTCTTCAATTTCTAGCAGGGATTGAATAGATTAAATCACTTTCTCTTACAGACATCCTAACCTACTTTAACCTCACTTTTGCCATTAGAATTCTATTTTACTGGCGCTTCTTTGTGGGAAAGAATTGCCTCGGTCTAGTCTGGAACTACCAAGGGTTAAAAATACCCCATCTGTCCTTGCTGTCTGAAACCATCCAGCAGGTCATAAGTAGAGCTAATAATTTCCCTTTTAACCTTCAGTACCCTTAAATATATGCATGTATAGATCTGATCAGTTGTTCCATGGTAGTTGAAGAGATGTGAAATAATTAAATATTAAGTCTTTATCTTCTAATTTTTTCCCATAACAATATCATAATAGTCCAGAAGAAGATGGATATAGATTTTCTGTACTTGAGTAATGACTTCCTGAAATCTTGTTCAGAAGTTCCGTAAGTGAAGTCTGAGCTTTAGGGGGTCTTGGAAAGCTGTCATTAATTGCCATTAACAACAAATCCTTTTCACTTATTTTCACAAACTTGCATTTGTAGTATTTGTACTACACTTTCATTCCAAAGAGCATCAGACTTAAGTCTGAGTTTTCAAATACAGGCTAAAGCAGTAAGGAAAATTTTTATTGGCCTTTAGTGAAATGGCTTTCAACAGTGAGAGTAGAAAAAAATCATTGCAAACTGGTAACTGTGTGTCTGTGTGTTCTTTATTAAGCAAATGGGGTTTGTGCTCACCCTTTTTTTCACTTTCCAAAGTTGACCAGCTTCAGCTATCTGTTTCCTTAAATCTATATTCTTTCTAAGTAAGGAAGTATCACTCATTAAGCATCTTGCAAGTCTTTCATTGTTTTGAACATCTTTTGGGGGGGGGAGGGGCTACTCATCTAGCCAAGCATTCAGGAAGGAAGAGATTTCTGTTACAGTTTTAGACTGTGCAAAAAACAGGATCAACTTTGAAGACCCCTCTCAAAGACAGCCATGTCTTCAGTGTAAGCAAAACAATAAAAGTATGACTTCAGCTGTTTTCTCTGTTCTTTAACTTCACTGAAACAGTCTGTGAGAAGAGGAACTGTGCTTTGTAAAGGAAAATTATAACAAAATCTGATTATGAAAAGTATTTAGGTATTTATTCACTATGTATTGAATGTTGCATAACTTCTCTTTAGGTTGGAGCAGCACTTAGGCCTGCCTTTGCTCCTGAAACTCCTCCTGATGTCACAGCAAAAGCATGTCAGGCAAGTGTTGAAAGTCAGAAATCTTAGGTAATAGACCCTCTGAAATATTTTTTCTTTTGCTTGATACGCAACACAAGAAAAAGAAAATAAGTCATCTAGCCTCAAATCCTCAATGCACACAAAATAATGTTACCTCTATATTGTGACAACTCAAAGATTTTTTGCAGTTTAAAGCCGTTTGAGAAACTTTGTAGCAGTTGATACTTGGTCATTGTGACACCCCACTAATGTTTTTAGCTTTCATTACTTAAGTTTACTAAACTGTAGTGTCATTTAACATTTATTGTTTTCTGAGAGCAAATGTATCTTGGTAGAAATGAAATCTGGTTTTCATAATTTTACAGACAAAAAAAGAGTCTCCAGTGGTGTTTTTTTCTTGTTCCTCATTGTTTCTCTTTCACTACACTAGGTATGCAGTGCCTGGATAGCAAGTGGTGTAGTCAGTGATCTTAATGACCTTCGAAGGGTTCACCAGTTGCTTGTGTCCTCTTTGGTCAAAGTGCAGGCTGGAAAAGAAGCACAAAATCAACAATATAATGAAAGTACCTCAACTATGGAGATACTGGCTGTGCTTAAGGCTTGGGCAGAGGTTAGTATAGCAGCTCTGTAATATTAGTCTTGATATCTGCTAGGTGATTTGGAACCTTTCAGACAGTTTTTGAGGAACTTCTTACATGCCTCATTAAATAGAAAGTGCTGGCCCTCTAAACAGTACATGAACTTTGTAAACTTGACAAAAACACTGTTCCTTAAACCATTGGTATTGTGCTATACATTAAGAACAATGTCTCATACTTAAAAATAAGAATTTCTCAAGATATTCTGATAGTTCAATATTCATTTAAAAATGTGTGTTGTAAATGGCTATGGTGATGGTCCACTGAATGTACCATTTTAAATAGGTGTCATTTTTCTCATTGTCTATTGGCATTTCATGTCTTAGAAATAGTTCTTTTAAGTTAATACTGTCAGTTCAGTACTGCATTGGTTTACTTAAAATTCGGCCCACATGAATACCTGTTTTAATACATGTAAATGGAAGGTTAAATATTTATAAGTCAAAAAGTTGAACAATGTACAAAATCTCTAAAAGGTGTGTGTTAGAAAGTAGTGATAAGGACCTTGGATGCTGATGCTTGATAACCAGCTAAATATGAACATGTTATGTAGGTACGTGATATTTCAGTGTATAGTCAGGGAGCTGTTTTGGAGGAGAAAGTAGGCAATAGATAGCTTTTATGTGAACATTTGTAGAAAAACTCCTCTTATGTCCATGCTTGAGAAAGGATACTGGCAAAACAGGAAAACCATTGGAAAAAATCTAGCAAGTGGGAATAAAAATCTTGAAAGCGTGCTGATATTGAGAGATTTAAGTAGATTAGTTAATCTATGCAGGAAGAGATAAAGTACTGAGATCAATTAAAAATTATTAAATGAAGAAAATGTTTTTAATAGCATGTAACAGCCTATCACTGGTCAGAAGCCTGTGAGGCTCAGTTGTCAGAAGTGAGGATCTGTAGACTGTTCCAGCCTATAATTAAGATCACTAGAGTTCTTGAAAGTAAATTCCATATAGCTTTCTATAAGCTTTTGCGACCTGTAATTTACAAATATTTCACTTAAGCCCTAGGCAGTTCCTTCTCTCTTGGAATCTTACCTATTTCTTGTTTAGAGAAATTCCCCTATCCTGTTGCTGCAGGGAGATGTGAGAGAAGGACTTGCTGGTTGCATAGTTGCTGGCCTGAGACAACCCACTAGCAAACGTGGAAAAGATACAGAAATCATAACTGCAGGAGACTAATACTCACCAAAGTTAACTTGAGATTCATTGAATCTAGATGTCTCGTTATAGTTGAGAAGAACTTCCCTCCAGGGGCATTTTGGAGAGACTAAAGATGGCTCTTGGTCTGAGACATTCTCAGTTCTCTCTTTTTCATAACTAGAAAGGCATCTAGGGAAATTAACCTTGAAATTAACCTACTGATGGTAACATCCAGAGTTTGCAAAGTATTGTTTTGCCAGTTGATGGGCAATAGAGAGGACACAGACACCAACAGAGGGAATGGACTTACTCTACTAGCAAAATTAAGGCAACACAAAACCAAAATAATGCATTTAATGTGGCAATAAGCTTAGCACGTGCACCATTTTGGCAACAAACAAACTAAGCAAAGCAATGCATCTAATTATTACTATACAAGCAAAGAATAGTGATTAAGAAAGACACATCATTGGTTACCCCACTAACACATTACCATCATCCGGACCCCTTCATTTGCTGGGGAGCCCCAAGTCACAGCAAAGGGTCAGAGAACCACTCCTGGTGACTGGGAAACCCTACGCAGTGCATCGCTCGTGCTTGAGTTCTCTATCTTCACTGTGAGGATGTCCAGCTTTTGTAGGCTGGATATGAATGACTTGCATATTTTGTCCTGCAGAAACATCTGGTGACAGTCTTCTCGACCACCTGAGACCAGGGCTTGGCCAGAGCCCAGGTCTAGTTTGGGCGAGGTTCCTAAAGGTCTCTGAAATATCTTGCAGACAGTCACAAGAGTACACCACAATTTCTTAAGTACCTGGTTTAACAGACAAGATTTAGCAAAAGATGTCTCAAATACATGGTTTGACATAACAATGCTTAGCATAAGCAGTTTAGCTAATCTATGTATAAGGTTCACACTTAGCACAAGCAGTCTAACTGATCTGTGTATAAGGTTTGCCCATTTTCCCCTGTCAAGTAGGAACAGTACAAGACTCATCTCTAAGTCAGTTTTGGCCTGTCTCAGGCCCTGGCACTTCAAGTAGGCGGGACTGTAGTCTTCATTCTTTACTGCTAGCACAGAGTAATACATAACTTTGAGAAGTCAGTTGCAAATGCAGTATGTCATTGCCGTTAAAAGAAGTTTTAGGAATAGTTTGTTTCGGGATCATGATTATAGGTATATTATTTGGTAAGTTCATCCGTTTTGTAGCCATAGTTATAACAGGGTTTGATGGTTGGAAGCAGAAGCTGGATAAGTAAAATACTATTTTTTAAGAGCAGGGAAGTTAACTGCAGATGTGTTTAGGAATTTCAGTAGTTTTTCCTTTTTTAGAGATTCTTGCATTGTGATTAGCTGGGAAATGGATTCAGAAGTTTTAGAAAATAAGTGCTTGTTCACCTATGCCTACTGGACTTCAAGCAGGAATAGATTCTAGGAAATCTCATAGCTATTCAACAGGCATTCATGTTAGTGGTCACAGTAGTTTTTTCCAAATGTTAATACTTGGAACTCTCTATATAACTGATCTATATATCAACAGGTTTACATAGTTGCAGTTGAAAAGCAGAAAAATCAAAGTGATGCACACAATCACTGTTTAAAAATTGCAAACTCTGCAGAAGAAAGCTACAGAGATGCAACATTTTCAGCCAGTGGACTTCTGGACTTGGTACAGGCAGATCTTGGAACACTAAGCAAGCTCTGGCTCGCTGCACTTCAGGATTTTGCTCTCTTAACTTTGCCTTCAGAATATGCATCCCAACTACCTGCTGAAGGTAAAAAGGCAAATCAGTTGTATTTTCATAAGCCACTTGTCAGCATACTGACTTGTAAGTAAGATTAAATTGTACAGAGAATAAGCATGCTTATGTGCTATCTAAAGATCAGGACTGCTTTTGAGAACAGATACTTTTCACTGATGTGAAAAGTAGTTTTTGGAATCCTTGTTTGTCGGGTTACTTTGTGGTGGAAAAAAGAAATAGGTAATTTATTGGATTTTTTCCAAATAAATATAAATTAGGTGCCCTGAATTTTAATATTGAACATGAAAAGAAAAAGTTATACATAAAATACATGATAAACATAATTTTAATTTTTTTCCATACTTTCACAATACATTATAAACATAATTTCAATAAAAAGAATCCTCTTTTAAGAATGAGAAAATATGATAGTTGAAAATAAGTTACATCCTTAAAACTAACTTCTTTTCTTGTAGGTGGTACATTTTATACAGCAGAGACAATTGAAAGTGCCAGACCTCATTACTACAACTCCTGGGCATTGATACTTTATGCTACAGCACTATGGCTTACTAGCACAGGTTTCGTTGTTGTTGATCCAGATGAAGGAGTTACAAATCTCTCTAGACCTGTCACCCCAACTACCATGTGCCAAGATTCTTCTACCAGACCCTTGGTGAAATCACCTGAGGATGTGAATACTGACAGATTTCATCTTATCTTGGGTTAGTGAGTGTCTGTATGCTGTATCTCAAAATGTAATTCTTACTAGATAAAACTGCTAGCAAATATTTAATTATTCACATTTTACTGCATCATTGACTATCTTGTCTCTTGGAAAAATATACAGTCAGAAGAATGTTAAGTTCTAGTGAGAAAATTGTAAAGGGTTTTCCAAATGTGGTACAAAAAGCATTCATTGTGAGCTACACAAGCCCTAAACAAATGTTTATCGCTCTGCCCATAAATATTCAAGTTCAAGGGTGAATTTTACAATGGTTGTACCACTACAATTACAGAGTGTATGGATCAACATTACTGAAGTACAGTTTTACATCACAGAATAGTGTGTGGGTTGGAAGGCACTTGTGGAGGTCATCTTGCCCACCTGCTGCTCAAGCACGGTCACCTAAAGCCAGTTGCTCAGGACCATGTCCAGACAGCTTTTGGATATCTCCATGGATAGAGACTCAACCTTTCTGCCTAACCTGTGCCAGTGCTTAGTCACCAAAGCAGTGAAAAAGTGTTTCCTTACATTCACATAAAGCTCTCGTAAGCCTCTGCTATTGCAAAAGATAATCAGCTAATTCAGTCCTAGGTCTCCAAATTTACACAATTAGACATTTGTGATTATATTTTTTTTCTTTGATCTCTCTTTTGTATCCTTCTTTTGTAATCCCTTTTTGGAATGGGTTTGTATGACCCAGTTGCTTTTGTCTTCTTTTGAATCCCAGTTTTTCTGCAGAGAGCCAGATTCCTTTTGAACTCCATTGCTCCCTCAGTTAAAAGTGGGACCTCTGATGCGAAAGCCGCCCATTTCCCCTTGCTTCCTCTACTACTTAGTGCTTCAAATTTCACATACTTTACCATGGACATCTGGCTTGTTTATTCTGCTTTTGAACGTATTCCAGTTGTTCATTTTCACTCCTATAGAGAAACTGAAAGAAGTTTAAAACTCGGGCATTTTCTGTTGCACAGCTGTTCTTCAGTGTACGTTGATCCATTTCCCAGGTCATCACACATTTTGGAATTACAGCTGTACAACTGGGATGAGAATATGGATTGCAGTTTATATGAAGCTTGTCTCCCAAGTCTTGAGGAGTCATGAAAGCTGAGGAAGAAAATAGTTTTATCTGCTCTAGGATTTGCAAGCTTAGGGTTCAAGTAATTTACTTACTGCTAGTGATCTAGTTGTGGTAGTTGCATTTTTGTGAAATGGGAAGATAAAGCCTCAGCCTTTGAGTTTATGCACTATTATTACTTTTGTCATTATTTCTGTCTATTACGTAAATCAGAGCAATGAGGCAAATATTCTGCTATATACTCATTATGAATTGTCCTGTCTGTTCATTGGAGTTTAGTGTTTTACTCAGAAGTTGCTTTATGTTAGTAGCCAGTTTTAATTGTGTCTTATACTGTTTAGAAGCTGAAATTCTTTGTTTTGATGGAAATTCTTGCCCCAAGATAGTAGCAGTAGGAGATGAATTCACTTAATATAAAATGTTATTTCTATGTCTGCTCAACCTACTGTGAGGTTACTTAGTAATGGACAAAATTACTCCTTAAAATTTCAAGCACATATGGGTTTTTTCTTCTGATGCTTACAGGAATTAGTGTGGAATTCCTTTGCTCCCCTCGATCAGATGCAACAATGGAGAATATTATTGCCTGCTTGCGTGCCTTGCAGGCACTCTTCGATGTTCCGTGGCCAAGGTCTAAAATAGGTGGTGATCAGGTAATGAATTAATGATCAAACATTCCCCAGAATTAAGGCATAATTTTAGTTTAAACAGTACCTCTACACTCTATTGTATTTCCAGGAATCTTGAACGTATAAGTAGTAGGTAAATTATATGCTTTACCAAAAGCCATAGAGGGAGGAGAGAAAGAGAGCACATCATGGAACCTGTAAGAAGACAGGTGAGAGGCACGGAACTTGAGGACATTTCGTCAGGAAGGAATAATTAGATGGGTAGGATGAGAACAAAGTAAAGACAGAATTCTGGGAAAGAGTTCTCTTACACTGTCTGTCAAGGCACAGCTGAATTAATTCTGTTGTAAAAATCAAAGATATGCCCAAATTCTACCAATTGTTGATGGTCTCTCCAAGGAAATGCATATACTGTAGGAGGGATACAAAGTAGTATTCCCACCTTCAAGAGTGAAGAAGCCATAAGATAAAGATTACATGGTGAGGGGGAAGTTTAGTAATTTTAAATGCCCTGTCACTTAAATGACTGTGATTACTATTTTGTTGGGAGAATTGATCAGGACTGCTGCTACCGGGAGCTACGAGCTGGATGTTGAAGAAAATGACAACTCCTATGATTGTATCAATTACATTGTGTTCCCTAGTGAGATTAATCAGAGTAATACTGTTGGCTTTAACAAGTATTAACAAGTTCCTAAAACTCCTGCATTAAAATTAAGATATATTAAATGTTTTTCTTACGGTAGGAGTTGAGTGTGGAGCTGCTGAATGTTTTGCATCGACTGATACTGACCAGAGAATCACCTGATATTCAGCTTGCTGCCCTTGAGGTGGTTCGCTTGATTCTTTTTGCAGCTCAGGAACATGTGAAGGAAAAGCGGAGAAGTGCGGAAGGTACAGTAATGTGTGAGATGTTCGAATACCTATTATCAGGATTAAAGCAATTCTTTCTTGGAAAACTGGATTCCAAGACGCATCTTGATTGAAGTGTTTCACAGTTGGTTACTAATTATGGTTCATTTAAGTCAGTTCAGGTGCCTAACATAAGAAATTGGGGTGGTATGATAGATAGCAGGTGGTTTGGGTGTTGAACAGAGGAAGTGAGGTGGAAAAATCTTGTGTGGTGTCAGGGAGGGAGGAGTTTTAATGAAAAGATGTGATCAGCTGCAATAGAGCAATGGAGAGGCTCCATGCAACTGTTACAAGCCAGATTCCAGTAGTTACTCTGATTGTAACTTCCTAATGTTCACTTTCTAAACGAAAAAGACTGGAGGAAGAATAAAAACACTTGTATCAGGTGACATCATATTGGTTTGGTGCCTCAGGATGTTGTATATCTATTGCACACCCTTTTGCCTTTTGACAATCACTGTGTAGTTTGCTTATCCAGAAGGATGTACGTTTGCCAGTAGAACCTGGAATACAAACTCATGTACATACATACAAGATTATGATTTGGTGATGAAACAATCTTAAGACATAAACTTTTTGGAAACAAGGCACAGCCTGCAGACTTCTGCCATATTTCTTCTTTTTGTTTTAGTTGATGATGGTGCTGCAGAAAAGGAAACGTTGCCAGAATTTGGGGAAGGCAAAGACACAGGAGGATTGGTGCCCGGGAAATCATTAGTCTTTGCAACACTGGAGTTGTGTGTTTGTATTCTTGTCAGACAGCTTCCCCAGCTCAACCCTAAATTAACTTGTAGCCCTGCAGTTCAACCTGGAAAACATCTGTTACTCTCAGAAGATGGAAGTAGACTGGTAGCAGCAGCATTAGTCATTCTCTCTGATGTTCCTGCAATCTGTTCTCCTGAAGGTATGCTGTTTCACCACAAGAAAAGATTAATGAAAGAATATTGGGCCCTTCTCTTCCTTTGTTATTACCTAATTTTCTTAGCTAGATAAATCTGGCAGCAAGTTTTGTTGATTTGCTTGTGACAATTTCCTTTTCTAATTATTTTTTGACTTTCAGATTACAGAACAAGTTACAAAACTGAAGCAATTAAATGAGTAGTTTTTCTTTTCCTCCCACATGTAGCAGTGCAATTAATAGATTGATTTTACACACGGAAATGTACGACAGCTACGTGTTTATATTCTACTTGAATTGTCTATTCTGGAATTTATAATGCAGACATAAATTAAATTTGAAAGGGAGATGTGTCGTTACTTTCACTAAATGCCATCATTTGAACATTAAGAAACCACTGTAAGGAGTTACGGTTGAATTCTCAGATTAGTTGACTTTTACCCATGATTCATTTTGGATTCACTCCAGACTTTAAGATGGTTCCCCACCACCAACCTCCAATATCAACTTCATACATATGATCTCTCAGTGCTGTTACAGCCACACATATAAACCATTTCTGCCCTACTCCTCTGTTCCCACCTTAGGTATCTGTGTACACCTTATGCAGATTTTTGGTATTTACCAACCCTGAAAATGTCTTCTTTTTTCTTAATTTTGTTCTCTGCTAAAAGGTTCTTCTTTGGGGAATATCATACTCCAAATGGCAGTCTTGCTATCATTGTAAGGTGATATTATGCTTTCTCTTTTCCTTCTGCAGCCCATTATTTATTGGTTCAAAGTGAATGGAAATAAAAGCATCACTTAAGTCTGAGGACAACTATCTTGTATGAAAAATAATCAGTGATTTTTTTTTCTTGCTGTAGATCTTTTTTGTCTTTAGCTGTTCATGTCATTCCACGAACTAACAGCTTGCAGTATCAAACCATATGGGATGTTTACACTAGAGGACTTAAGCATTTCATTCAGGTGACTGAAAAGAGGAGCTTAAACTTGCTTATACAGTCACTTGAAAAAGGAAGCAGCTCTAAAAGTCAGTTCATATAATCAAAGAGAAGAGAATTCCTATGTGGAATTGCATCCTTTTTTTTCCCCTTTAATAGGTAATTGAAGTTATAGTCCTGTGACTACTATGTCTCTTACTTCAGGCTGTCATGATAGGTATGCATAATAAAATTTGCAAGTAAATGATGCTCATGAACAACATTTCCTACTGAATTCCAGCAGCCAGTTTTCAAAGGCTTGGCTGTTTAAAAATAGAAGGTAGATGTCTTCAGCTTCAGAAAACACTTGTGCATACGTCAGAGACTCTCATTATTCAACAGGTCTCTCGTGAACATCAGTATATTAAAATCTTAAAAGCATAAGCATTTTGCTGATTGGGGAAGGAGATAAGCGTGTTATGCCATAGGCTTAACTGTGCTTTGCTGAGTCAGAACTTGAGATAGGAGCAACACATAAGTATGCAGATTTCTAAGTTGTCTCCAATATGTGCAGAATTCTATGTTTCTATTGGGTTCCAAGATGTAAAAATAGATTAAACTACCATGGCAGGTTTCTCCTGTGTTTTATTTTTAATATTTTTAAATGGTCTGTCATTCTGACAGGTCAATTATCAGACTGTCAGAGATGAAGATCTCTTCAGTGGCCTATGGGACAATCTGCTTCTCTCCCTAGGTCTCCCCTTTTCCAAAATATTTCAGAGCTTTTTGTTGTAATTCTAGGATTTTTTTACATATATTTATTCTGAGGTCCTCTTTTTATTACTCTGACTAAATTCTTGACTTTAGTGATTTTCTGCAGCAATGAAATCCTTAGCTTACCACACATCATGTGGGAGAAGTATTTCCTTTTATCAGTTTTGAAATTACCCTGTGTAATTTCCTTTGCTGTATTGTCTTCACTGCAAAATAGACTTTGATACTTACATTTTGTTTTCTGCTATTCTTTGTATAAACTATTATATACAAAGAATATACTACTATACATATTACTGCGTATACTAGTATGTACCATATATACTACTATACTTCATATACTTCCATAGCTTCTCTTCTGTGAGAACAACTTCCTCAGTGGTTCTGATCTTTCTGTTCTTTCTTTTCTCTGAACAGAAGAACAAAAGAATTTACCATGCTTCACATAGTAAAATCATCCAGAAAAAGATCTACAATGCTAATTTAAGAGGGGTAAAGGTTTGACTTCACTTAAGCAGTCTGACTCCCTGTTTGCTATAGCAGGTCACACAATTATTTCAAATATTTTCTTCAAATTACCAGTGCCTCCATTAATATAGGTGCTTAGAAATTATAAATAATAAATTAAAAAGATAATTCAAGAAGACTGCCTCAAACTTTTTTAATGTAAAAAGTACCTGCATTTTTTTAACTCCTGTGGAATTAATTTGCACTGTTTTACAGGAAGTGTTTCTGTTCTACCGACTATTTTGTACCTAATTATTGGAGTACTTAAAGAAACTGCTGTGAAATCTCAAGATGGCCAGTTACCTCTAGTAGTTGCTGCATCTCTACAAGCTCTTAAAGGACTCTTGTCTTCTCCAATGTCTCGAGCAGAGAAGAGTAGGACTGCTTGGACTGATCTTCTGCGCAGTGCTTTGGTCTCAGTACTTGACTGTTGGGATCAAGGTAAACACAAATATTGAGTCTGTGTTTTTAAAAAACAAAAACTGTCTGTGTGAAACGTTCTTTGATTTTATTTAGATTCAATTTATGCACATATAAAAAAAGATTAGTATGTTAGTCACAGAAGAATTAGCTGGCTACCAAGTACTGTTGAAACTATAGTGCAGTCTTGTCCCTACAGTTCATATCAGAAGTCATCATCTATAAAAGTACAAGTAAGGGTATTGTGGTTTAAGCCCACCTAGAAATTAAGCACCAGCAGCTGCTCGCTCAACCCTCCCTCTCCCCGTGCCACCCCCACCCCAGTGGAACGGGGAGGAAAATCAAAGTAAAACTTGCGTGGTGAGATAAGAACAATTTACTAATTGAAAATAAAGTAAAATACAATAATAATGGTAAATTATAATAATAATCATAATAAAAGTGGGAAAACAAGGGATGCACAAGGCAGTTGCTCACCAGCCACTGACTAATGGCAGACCCCTCTTCCTGAACCCAGGTTGGCACCTCTTCCGGGTAACTCCCCCTAGTTTATACACTGGGCTTGACATTCTGTGGTGTGGAATAGTCCTTTGGTCAGTTCAAGCCACCTGTCTCAGCTGTGCTCCCTCCCAGTTTCTTTCCTGTACCTCCTTACTGGCAGAGCATGAGACAAGAAAAAAGCTCCTTGACTTAGGATAAACACGACTTAGCAAAAAACCAAAACATCGGTGTGTTATCAACACCATTCTCATTCTGAATCCAAAACATACCACCATAACAGCTACTGAGAAGAAATCAACTCTCCCCTAGCTGAAAGAAATTAACTCTCCCCTAGCTGAAACCCGGACAGTGGGTTTGCAGGCCTGCCCCTGTGTTACGTAGTGCCACAATGTAGTTACGTGGTACAAGGGCATAAACAGGAGTTGTGGCCTCAGTGTACCTTTGAGCATAAAAGACAGCTGTCCTGTGGGCAGGTTCTCAACAGAGAGTTAGTGCCCGTAGGAAAACAAAGGGTATTTAAAGCAGTAGTGCAAGAAAAAATTTTTTGTCCTGAAGTTAGTTTAATGCGTGCTGCTGCTTCAACTTCCTGAGTTTGCAGTATGTTTAACATTTGTTATGTTTACTCTCTAAAGTGTAGTTTGTTGTTGGAACTTTTATTTATAGAGGTGTTTTTGTAGGTTATAGGAAAAGAATATATTTTCTTAATGCAAATTTTATATATTCTCAAAAAAGATTGTAATCTTAATATCTCCTACCAGTTCTTCAAAGATATTTATTGGACTTTATACAAAGAAACGACTGAATAAGGAGTATGCTGTTATTTCTAAATATGCACATAAGCACCCCTGAATTCCCATTTTGGCCTTGGCTTTTATTACAGGAAAAGTCCGTATCACTGCATCAGAGTACATTGTGTATTTGAATGAAATGTAGACATTGATATTTCTGCTTCACCTCTGTGTAACACTTAAACTCATAAGATTACTTTTTAATGCAAGTCTAACCCTCTTCTTACTTTATTGATAGATAAAGGACTCCAAGAACTCGATGAAGTTAGCCTGCTTACTGCTATTACAGTATTTGTTATGTCTACCACCCCAGAAGTTACTACTGTAGAGTGCCTTCAGAAGCGTTGTATTGAGACGTTTAAAATAACACTTGATTCAAAGGATCCTCTTGTAAGTCCTAGTGAAGTTATGGAATACCAGTATTGTATTAAATGAATTTTAGTTGTGTCACTAGTCCTGGGTATTGATTGAAGTTAATTCTCTCCTGACTGTATCTGTTCTATTTTAAAATACAATGAGCTCGTTTGAACAATGAGCAAAACCACGTCCAGCCGTGCATTTAATAATTCTTTATTCTGTATGCAGTTCTGTATTCCTGTGATTTTTTTGTTTGTTTTTTTTATTGCATCAGATGCAGCACTTTATACATTGATAAGTATGAGATTCAGTTCTGTAGTGTTTCAGGCACCTGTTTAATTTTATTTGTTCACTTTATCTTCAGCACACAGATACTATCTTTTGCACTGGAAATCACTCAGCTGTGAGTGTTTGGGAGCTGTAGCAAGTACCACTATATAGCTGTTTCTGTCCCATAAGCATCAGCTCTTGGCACTATGCTGCTGGATGCAGCATACTGCCCTAGATTACTGCTTGCTCCAACCTAGTATAAATATTTTCATGTAGTAGCTTTAGACTGTAGTTCCATAGTTGATATATTACTGCTCTTCACCAAAAAAACCTAATGTATCGGGAAAAAAAGTATGTATACAAATGGCTTTTTTAGATGTTGGAACTTCTTCACTCTCGAAGTTAAGCTCTGAAAATAACATGCTCTAGATTTTATCTTTGTGAGAATGTAAACTGTTTTTCTTGCATCTTCTCTGTATATATTTGCATAGTAATAAAAAATTAAATAAAGTTATCTTTACTTGAGAAATAGCTGTAAGACAGTACTTTTTAATGAATCAATACATTTCTAATATTGTAAACTTCAGTTTCCACTGTTAGCAAACTGGGGATGCCAAATACGACTGCAAGGAAATGTTAGCATGCATTTTCAAATTTTATCCAAGTATTTATCCAAGTATTTAAGTATTGAGCCCTTCTGAAATTGTGTAGGAACCTGGCAGTTCCAATCCTGTTGACTTCCAATGAATGCAAGCTATTGGACAATTTGAGGCATTTTAAAATTGTGTCTACAGTTTGACAGGGATATTGCTTACATTTTAAACACCTCTTTTCAGTTTGCTGTGTTTTTGCAAAAAGGAGAGTATTTTCAAAACAGGACTCATCTTCATACAAAAATAGTATTTTTTCCTTAACTCAAAAATGTCAGAATATGTAAGACTCAGGGGAAAGAAAAAGGAAGCAGGATCTAGTGTCAGTTATTATTTTGATTGCAAGTTATAATCCTCTTAATAAAGTATTATACATTAGCAGCCTGAAACCTCAGGAATTTTTAAGCTAGGAGGCACATTTTTCCCCCCTCCTTAAAATTTTATCTGACAACCTGTTAGATTTAAAACAGTCAGAGATGTATTTTTAAATACAACACTTTATAACTGCAAATTTTGTTTTTCCTCTAGGTACAGTGTAAGTGCTACCAGCTGCTGCACTCCATCTTTCAGCATCCAAACAAAACCGTGTCATATCCTTACATTCATTCTTTAGCACCGTCCATTGTGGGAAAACTGCAGGAAACAGAAAAAGCAAAACCTGAAAATGCTGCTGAACTCCAAGTCATTCAGGAGGGAATAAAGGTGGTTACAGCTCTGACAGCCACTGCTGAGGAAGAGCACCGTAAGTCACTTCCATTACTAGTGCCCAAAGCATTAAATATGCTCAAAGCTGCCATAAGTAACAAACCAAACCAAAACAACCACTAGGAATCCAATCCTGAATGCTAATTGCTGACAAAATTGCTCACAGGAAATGTTGGTTCTTTTTACCCTACAGTTCAGCTAACATCTGTAGCTTTATAGTTTGAGTTAAACGTTAACCTAGAGAAATACTTCTAGTTTGAATTTGAAACTATTTTTAAAAAATGTATGCTCAAGCTGTGTTTTCAATGTTGTAGGTGCTCATTTGGTGGCCTGCTTTCTTCCCATCCTTATTTCCTTTCTTTTGGATGAAAATGCCCTGGTTTCTGCTACGAACTCAGCAAAAAATCTACATGAGTTCGCGTTGCAAAATCTGATGCAGATTGGTCCACAGTACTCGTCAGTTTTTAAAAAACTAATGGCCTCCTCTCCAACTATGAAAGCCAGGCTTGAGTCAGCTGTGAAAGGCAATCAAGAAAGCATCAAAGTGAAGACTGCTAAACATGCAAAGAATCCTGGGAAAAGTTCAAGCATTCAGCTAAAGACCAATTTTCTTTAAAGCTTCATATTGTCTTCTTATGTATTTTGATTTCAACAGCAAAAACCATCCCCTTTAATTTCTAATGAAAGTAGAATCGCTGTGAGTTGATCTTAAGTATTTGAGTTTGTGTTGAAGTATTTCAGAAAGTTTTTAAGAGAAAGAACATCTCTAGGTAACTTTCTGTTAGTGTAAGACTTATTAAACATCTCTAAATGTTATGAATAAATCAGAGGTCATCAAATCTGTATTTTTTTGTTATTTTGGACTAAAATACCAGAAATGCACATGTCTATATTAAAAAAAGCATAGCAAACTTTACCATAGGTTAATTTAGAAGAAGTCCACACTTAGCCATTAAGTAAAACTAATTTTATTTGAAAGCAGTATTTGTCAAAAATAAGTCACCTTAATTGTTTTTTTGATTTAACTGGGGCATAAATTTACTTACAGGTTGTAATCTATGCTAATTACTAATTTAACAGACTGCATCAATAATTAAACAGATTAGGTATCCTTTTAAGCCTTACAACAGTTTATTGTTGATCTCAGAAAATTCAACTCAGTAAAGGTAATACGAATAGCTTTAATCCTCATGTCTTGAGCTGGACAAGACGTAACAAATGGTGTGAAACACAGCTCTGTGATGCTTCTTCCCGAAGGACTCTGTAGTGCTTTCCAGAGTGGGACTATGGAAGGACTGGCAGGCTTGGTGCCTTGCTTCTCCACACGGTCTCACTGTTCAGGACGTGTCCTTGTGTTAAGTTTGTATCAGGCGAGCCAGGCAGTCGGAGCTTACGTATCCTGTGCAGGGCAGGACAGCAGCTTTAGCATTCAGTGCCTCGATTCAGACCTCTGCTCTATCTGGATGGATGTTTCCTGATCGGTAAATGATCGGTTATATAAACATGGAACTCACATAAATTTATGTATCTCTGCAATGAGAGATGGACATATTTGAAGTCACCTTGGCTTGTGTCTATAAATAAAGAGCAACAAACTGATAGTAAGGAGTATATAATTAACATTTTTATCAAGGAACATATTTTAATATAGAAAAATAACTATCAAAATTGCAAAGGCTATAGAGTATTTTTACTTCTTCTTCCTACCAGTATTAACTAAACCAAACACTATCAAACTGAGGATACTATTTCCTTCTTGAATCTAATTGCTTTAAAAGAAAGGAGAAAAAAATTATCTACAGAACTGAGAAACACACTGTGACTCAGGAAGAGTGTGATGTACTGTATTTTATGAGAAATTTTGTACATAAATATAATTGTAAATTGTACAGAATTAACCATTTGACCAAAGTTCTAACAGTTAATTTTTCTAATTTACATAAATAAAGCTAATTTTCTTCACTTAATATTTGTCTTAGTCATTTTATCTAAGAACTTTTGTATCAGAAAGGAAATCATTGTATGGTGCCTCAAGGAAACTAATAATAAAAGTTTGGGCTGGATTAATCAAGGTCTGTGACTTGATACTGCAGGTCTTCCTCTGTTCTGTGAAGCACATTGGGTAAATAACTAGCACCAGGAAGACTTTCTATGTGTAAGTACCTCTTCTGTGCCAAATGCTGAAATATGTGAACTCTGGGAAGATGGTTGAGATGCTTTCCATCTTTCCCTGGAGAACCAGAAGCACTTTGTTTCACCTCTTCATTGAAGTCAAATCTGTAGTTGCTGGCTGTGTTGAACGGGAGTTACATTAGATTTGGCAGTTACTCATCTCATCAGTAATTTTTTTATCTCATTATTTTTCCCTACGAAGTTTACTGGTGGGGGTTTTTTTGTTTTGTTTCTTCTGGAAAATCATAGATTCTTATGGCACTTGAAACTTTTAAATGAAACTCATGTCATATTTACTATCAAAGTGGCCAAATACATCACTTAGGAAGTTAGTTACTACAGTAAGTGTATGTGGCTGCCTTTTTCAGTTTCTGTGATGTATAGCAATGTATCAACATGTTCTAATGTTGATAGGACAATCTATTGAAACCCTACCTTGCTCAAAAATTTTGAAGAAGCATATTCAAGTTGCAAGAGCATCAAGCAAACCTGTTAAAAACAAAAATTAAAATTTAGAACAGCTTAGTCCTCGATTTCTTAGAAGGTCTCATTGCAGTAGCTCACAACTGAGTCACTGAGTAGTGCCATAATTATGTGATTTCACATTTCTTGATCAAGTCTTGTAGCCACATGTGGAAAAGCACCATTTTCAACATATCTGTGTATTGCAGAAGCAAAAAATATTCCAATAAAGAGAACTGCTGCTAATTCTTAATGTTGACTGTAAATTAGGTCATATGTGTGAGCTTTATTTATCTAGATAATAATTTATCCACATAGTAAAAATATCTGTGCCCTGAGTTGTGCTTTTTTATGTACACCTAAAGAACAAGTTGGATCATATGAATAAATCAACTCCTTTAAGATTATATAAATGAATCTTACAGATATAATCTTGTTTCAGTTATAAAAAGATTTTGGCTTTTAGATATCAGATGTCTTTGCTGCAGTCTTACAAGGAACTTGCATAAATCTCTTTTTTCCTGAAGAAATAAGTAAGACCACAGAGCAGTTTTGGTTTTAATTCCACTCTTCTTCTTTAGGCATTGCTTGGTATGCAAGCTCTTACATTTAGCTGAGCAATGAGAGCCAAACGTGTTTAGCCATAAACCAAAGTCTCACTTTTGCCACTCTCGCTTCCTGTGTCCTGTGCCTCCTTGCTGGTAGTTTTTGTGCCATTTCTCTACAAGCCCCAGTGAATTTTCTTCCAGTAAATTGTCTTTCAAATGAAGCACGTGGCCTGCATGCATGTTTACTTTGTATGTTTCCACTGTTTATATAGGAAGTTTAGTGGGTTTGTGTGGTAAAAGGTCTTTTCTGTGCCTAACCCCAAGTGTATATATGCACATATGAGCACATCATGGAATGTAATATCAAAGTGCTATGCAAATAATTCGCAGATAACTTTCTGTTGACTGCAACAAACCAGAATTAGTAAAAACTGTGCAAAAGCATCCCACAGCTGGAATGTGGTGGGTTTTAATTGGATACAAATCTGTAGCACTGCAGCTGAAAAAGCAGCATTTCTGATAGTATTGCTTAGGCTAGAATAAGTCTGAGGCTGATGTGGTATGTTCCAAGGTGCAGGAGTCACCTTCAGGTGGACAGAGGTATCAGTCAAATGATGCAGATATCACCATAAAATAGGAATGCATAGGAAGCAGAGCAGATTTTTCTATTAATACATGTCAGTTACTACTTAAAATTTCCAAAGAGATTTTTCACCACAAGACTTCCACAGCAGTACCCAAGGAGGGTAATTGCAGAGACCAATTGCAGGAGGAGTGGAGTGATGTAGGATAATTTCCTAGTTTATCAGAAGTAGCAGTAATACTGCTTAGGAGGGATCAGGTGGAAAATTCAACAGAATTTCAATATAGTTTTAATTTGAATGAAATTGGATGCATCTGTGACAGTGCAATGTATGAGGGGTCACTGTGACAGTCTCTTTTAAAGTTTCATCCCTAATCTCATCTAGATGTGCTAGATACACATATTTTGTATTCCTGAAATGTACCTGTTATGTCAGTAGACAGAAGTTGTTTCTTAACAAATACTGGTCTGCTAATAAACTGCTTGTGTTTTCTGCCAGTGACAAACTTCGCAAATGAAACTTCAAGCAAGGCAAGAAAGCAAGGGGAGAAATCCTTAAACAATTAACACTCTTTGTTGAGTTATCAAATAAAAGAACACAGAGCAAGGTAGGCTATTTGTCTACTTCTCTACACTGTGGTGTCAAAAACCACAGGAAGAGTCACCCCATTTGTCTTGAAAGTAGCATTCCTTGGCCAGCCTGGATCCTTTGAGCTTTCCTAGGTACTGCTTTTTGCACATGAGAACCTCCGATCCTTAAAAATATCTAATATGTGGTACTTCCATGCAGCCAAGTATTAAATGAAGTGCTCAGATTTGTCCACGGCACTCTAACTTGAGCAGCACTGGAGCTGTTGCTGTAGATAACATTTCACAGAGGACTCCCATTCAATTAGCTGAAATATCAAGCAGTTCAGTTTTACACATACTGGTCAAGCTATTTAATGACAGCAGGCTATAGCTTCAAAGACATAAAAATTAAAAAGCACATTTGGCCAGACATGACATGCTTTACCTGCCTCTAACATATTTAATGTCATGAATACTGAAAGTTGATTATGCAAACTGAAGTAAACCAGCTGCATTTGATACATTATGCTGTCTGCATAATGTAAAAAAAAAACCCTAAATATGCCAGTGCTATGCCACCAACCTCTCAAAAATAATGTGTGGACTTTGGTTTTTATGTAGAGTTTTAGATTTTTGAAACCTTTTTCCTAAAATGTTCTCTGTATTCTCTGGAGAATCAGTGGTTTATTACATATAACAATGACAGGGAAAGTGACATCTAAATATAGCAAAAATAGGGCTGAAGACCTTGTCTGAGAAACAGGTCAGTGCAAAAGCAGGCTTTTAAAACATCCTGCAGTTATCTGTGGTACAGTAACCCACATTCTCTCTGCAGCCAGATATCAGTTCTGCTCTGTGGTCATATCCCCACTTCCATAGTCCCACTTAGCTGAAGTGCAAAGTCTAATTCCAGAAGGAAGAATGTGGCATCAAATCCCTTTTCTCTGTGCTTGGATTTCAGGTGCTCAGTGGTGGCACAAGCTGGGAGGATGAGTCGCAGCCACAGCAGGGCCTGCTGTCTCTGTGCATATTAGTGCATGTGCCCATTTGCCCAGTTATTGCACAGAAAAAAGTATTGTTTATACATGTAGAGAAGTTTGCAGATGAGGGAAGTCTGTTTCTAAAAGTTGCTGGTAAGAAGCTAAATTTAGTAATGACACAGATTCGTAAAATCGCATTCTAAGCTGCAGCCTTACGAATTGCAATTGTGTAGCCTAAAAATGGGATTTTTTAACCAATGTTAATATTCATGTATTAAAATGGATGTGAATTATCTCGCTGACAATGAAATGGAAAATGGAATTACTGACAGTCCCTGTTGCTACTACAGGGAATTTTTTTCTAATTATAGCCTTCTCTGGGGACAGTTTTATTTATGGTATTTTTGTAAGCATTTTTTTTTTCTGCCTACTGTGTCAGTTCTCTGTATGCTTTTCTGCAAGAAAAGGAGAAGGGTTTGTTTGAGACTCATTTTCAGTGGAAGTACAGGCCTCAGGGATTCTGGAAACAATTTTGATTTATATCTAAAAATAGAAATATTATGCAATTTGAAAATACAACCTATCATTATGAAGGCAAATGCTCTTAACCTCGTCTTTCCTCATGTAAAATTCATGGCAAACACCAAGAAAAAATTGTCACAGATGTATGCATGTTTTATGGGAAGCACAGATGCAAGGATAACTGGTTCAAGCTGCTGCCACCAAATTTACCTGAAATTCAGTTAGAAGAATAAAAGAATTTGCCTATAGGAAAAAAATCCAGTTTTCTTTTATGTATTTATTAAATAAGCAAGGATGGGTTGAAGAAGGGAAATGGAAGAGACACTGGAAATGAATGGCTTTCACCTCCAGTCTGAGGCCCAATGCAATCTTGTGTTCAGCTGTCAGGGAGTCAAGCCACACAGTAATGTGGCCACGGGAAAGGTGGGAGAGTAAATGGGCTTTTTTTAATTTTAGTCCATTCCTCCGAGTTCCCTTTTGAGACCAACAAATCTGGGTATAATTTCCTTTTGTAAAATAAGACTTTTCAAGCTGGTTGGAGAGAGGTTCTCAAGAATGAGTGATCTTGAGTTGGAGCCATGACCCATCCCTAGTTCTAGGCACCATCTAGCCAAGTGATACATGTAGATACATGTGGACACTTGGGACTTAAAGGCTTGCAGCCTTCTGTCCCCATTTTCCCACATCACCTTGGAGATGTAGCAAAAGGCTGTACCTGTCCCCTGTAGGTACAGGGAGGAAAGATAGTCAGTGGGCAAGGTATGAACCACCAAAGTATTCTTCTCTGTCTGAGGGCAGCTGCACCCGGGGAAGCTATGAGTGAATAACTTATTTTCCAAGTAGGCAATTTCCTTTAGGTGCCCAGAGAAACCTTCTTGCAAGGACATTCAGAACCATGAACTGCAATGATTTAGGATAAGCTGCAGTCATTCCTAAAGACTTCTGGAGATTTTCCTGATCAAGGCAGGAGAGAAACGGGTGTTGGATGTACTGGCTATAGAGCAGAGAGACTTCAGAAGCAGATTTGGAAGATGAGCATCTACTGCAAAGCTTCAGCTTCCATGAGCAAGAGGAGGGAAGAGGGAGCAGGGACTTACCTGGGTTGTCAGGCTTCAAGTGACCACCATGGC